GACAGCGACAACCCTCAGTTATTCAACCAAACTCTAATTTAGGTGTTGCTGTGAAGGTATTTTGCAGATATGATTGAAGCCCATAATCAATTGACTTTACGTAAGGAAGACTTGTCTCAGTGGGCCTGATTCTACCTACCTAGTCTCACCTACCAGAGATGTGGTTTCCCTCAGAAGTCCAATCTGTACATAAAAGTTGTTGCCAGGCCCATACATGGCCCCCCCACTTCCTGACAACAGGTCCTAGGAATTTCAGGCCTGCGCAGCCAACCCCCACAACTGCAATAGTCTGTCAGTACAGGCAATGTCAGCCTCTCTCCTACTGGTGCTGCATCTCTGGTCAAACCCAGGCTGAAGCAGCAGGTGATTCCAGTAAGTTACTCAGGGGGAGAACCAGGGAGTTTATAAACAAAGGGAATCAGGACAAATTAGCCTAAGGTCCAATCGCTTCTCTTCTACCACACATCTGTGATCACAGCTTCCTCCGCTGTCAACCTGCGATCACAGTGTCTGCTGCAGGGAGGTGCCAATGGCTCTCACGTTGTAAAAGCTCAGCGAGCATCTGGTCTGAATAGCGGCCGCTGCTCTTACCACCAGGTGATCCAGGGCCGAGAGCAGCGATAGGGCATTCAAATAAAATGTGATGCCGGTTTCCACGCGTTCCTTGACATCTAAAGCTTAGGACTTTTTGTCAAGGTCATCTAAACACGTCCTCCACACAGTGGCGCCTATGGCAGGTGAGGGGCGGGGAGACACCTGTGCACACAGATCCCCGCCCCCTCCACTGCAGCAATTACCCCGCACTGGTAATTACCTCGCCCTGGTGATTAAAAGAGCAAGATGCTAGGCAGCCACGAACGTCCTGTTTTTAAAAATCTGCTTTTTTATAAAGTGGATTGTAAGATTCATCTGTTATCCATCATCACTATGCAAGGCGTTTTAATTCAAGCTGGGTAGGTGACGGGGCTCAAGGTCTGCTGGTACCTTGGAAAGTCGCTGGGGTGCAATAGCCTGTCCCAGCGCCTTCTTTCGCGCGGGCTTGGGGGTGCGCGCTTCTCAGCCCGGGAGGTTCCTCCACTCACCTCCCATCCGCGCAGGGTCGGGCTCGCCCTTCCATCTGAGCAGCAGTGCCCCCTGGTGGCCCCAGGCTGTCTCTGGCAGCTGCTCTGGGATCTTGGGTGTGTGCCCATGTTTTAAAGTCATGGATAACTCAACAGGCTCCAGTGAACCTTTGGAAGGTGGGGGGCGGGGGGTCTGCCTCTGCACCCCTTGACTCTGTCACCAACCATCTGTGTGCGCCCTCAGCGCCTCCTGCCACCTTTCTGGGTCTCCGCAATTAAAACTAAGACGATTACCATAAATCACCTCCGGTTTTCACATTTAGGATTTGAAAGCTTATTTAGGATTTAAAAGCTTGTGGTTTGGGGCAGCTATTTATTCAACAAATACTTATTTATTCACAGTATTTATCCAACAAATACTTGTCAAGTGAAGAGATTCAGGTTCATCAGAGAGCAAATCTGTGCTTTCCTGAACCTTAAACATTAGTGTGGGGGGGGGAGAATCAATAAGCAATAAAAAGCACTTGCACATCAGGTGATTGATGTGGGGGGTGGGGAAGGGGACACGGAGCAGGTATAGAAATCAGGAGTGTTGGTAAAGGTGGTGGGGGTGAAAGGCTCAGGCGGGGTGTGTAACAAGGCCTCAGCCCCAAAGACTGGGTCCTTGGCCCTCTAAGGAAAGAATTCACCTGTGCTCTCTGGAAGCCTGGAAACAGGGATGATCGCATAAAGCCTCCTAGGTGTGAGGGCACATGGGAAATCATTGCATACTTCTCTTGGGTCTTCTAGGATGCAAAATCATCAAACAAGTATCAGACAAAGAAGAGAAAAAGTCAAAAAGACATTGAATAGTAACACCTCACCCTCCTGTATACATGGAAGAAACCCAGCATGACTAACTTACCCATGTGGCTTCTGACACCACTATAAATAGTTTAGTTAAAACAAGGTGGTTGGGTGAAGAAAGGGAACGTTCTTTTGGGGAGTTTACCAAGGACGGCACAGCAAACAAAAGGTGTGCATATTTCCAGTTCTACCTTCTCAGTTGAAATGAGATAAGGAGGTCAGGTAAGGGAGGCTCTTACAGAGAGAAGTTTTGGTAAATATATTTTACAAAAGCAACCTCCACCAAGCTGTCAGAGGTCCTCCTATATCAACCTTTGGCCTAAGAGACATATTTTGATTGGTAGATGTTTGCTCCTCTTCACTGACGGTGGTAAATTCCAATCCAGTTGGTCCCTATGACAGTGCCTCTCCCACAGGTCCCCTGCAGTCCTTCCGTGCTGGACTCACACCAGGTATGATTAGGATCTCTGTCTTTGGTTAGAGTAGGAGATGTGAGAGCTAAATTCAGAGTGTCCTTCTTGGGCTTTCTTGCCCCTCCCTGGCCTGGTTTCATGGCCTGGGAGTCTCACTTTATTTCTGTTCCTTTTCTCCTCAATAAACTTTTTCTTTCTCTAAACAAACAAACAAAACAACAACAACAAAAAAAACCAAACAAACAAAAAAACAAAACAAAACAAAAAAAAAAACAAACAAAAAACAAACAAACAAAAAAACAAGTGTCCTTCTTTGAAGCAGTGCTAGAGGGGCACTGAATGATGGCTGGAACGACCCTACCCATGGGCCCGCTGATGAGCAGTCCAGACCCACGCCTGAGTGAGCCTTCATCCTCTCCTCTCACACTCACATACACACCCACCTGTGCGCCATGGAAGACCCTGTACATAGTTTGCTCCTCACAGCTAGGAAAGGCATCATTCTGCGGTCTCCAAAAAGAGCTGGGTGGCTAAAGAATAACTTGACCTTAATTTTCCTTTCCCTAATCAAGTCTATGTTCTTTATAACTTCTAAGGAAATGCAACCTAAATATCCACATAGGAAGCCAGGTTAAAATCAGTTCCATAAATCTAGCTAAGATTTCCTAGAATTATGAGAAAAATCTATCTTAACCATTGGGTATTAGGAGTCAGCTTGAGATAAAACTTGAGGTTTATGGTTACTTCTTTAAAATAATGCAGGGGGCCTCCCTGGTGGTGCAAGGGGTTAAGACACAACCTATGAAGCTGCCCGCAGCCTCTGCAGCACGAGTTCCATCCCCAGCCGGGGAGCTATCCACATGGTACAGCAGACTTCTCCTGCCTCACCCGCTGCTCCCCTCAGCAATGTATTTCAGTCAGTCTGCCTGTTCTGCTCCCCACTCTGTCTCTGGTGAATCCTATCACCCTCCCGCACCTCTGATCTGTACGCCAGCTCTTGTATAAAAATAAATAAATCTTTAAAAAAAAAATAAAAATAAAATAATGCAGGACTTAAGTTCTTCAGGAAGAATCACCCTAAGAATATATGTAATGTCTCCATTTACAAAATGGGGAAAGTGGAAAGTGGAGAATAAGATAATGATTTCTAAATAAATGTAACACGGGAAAGCTTCTTTAATCTTTAATAAGATCCATTAAAAGAATGAATATAGATTAAACATAATTTACATGGAATTAATTGGACTTAAAATATTCTATCCATCAAACTTTAAAATAAAGGTAATTTTAATATAGCAATTCCACATGTTAACTGATTTAAGGATATTCGCAAAGCTTTTTTACTAACACAAGAGTGTCCTTTCAAAGAGTACCAGTTAAAGAAATGATCTGTGTAATAGAATACTATGCAGCGTTTAAAAAAAATGGAAGACTGGGCATCCCCTGATGGCGCAGGCGGTTGAGCGCCGCACTGTGAAGCTGTCCGCAACCTCTGCAGTGCAGGTTCGATCCTGGCCCGCCGGCGAGAATCCAACATGGTGCGGCAGACCTCTCCTGTCCTGTCTCACCCACTGCTCCTCTCAGCAGTGTATTTCAGTCAGTCTGCCTGTTCTGTTCCCCACTTTGTCTCTGGTAAATCCTCTCACCCTCCCGCACAACTGGCCTGTACCCCGGTTCTTGTATGCATGAATTAATAAATCTTTAAAAACAAAAAAGGAAGACTATTGACATGAGAAATCTCCCAAGATATATTGAATTTAAGGGCCTCCCCGGTGGTGCAGCGGTTGAGTTGCAAAGCTGCCCACAGCCTCTGCAGCGCCAGTTCGATTCCCGGCCGCCAGGCGATGGTCCCACATGGCACTCAGAACTCTCCTGCCATGCCTGCTGCTCCCCTCAGCAGTGTACTTCGTCAGTCTGCCTGTTCTGCTCTCCACTCTGGCTCTGGTGAATTCTCTCACCCTTCAGCGCTTCTGTCTATACCCAGTGCTTGTATAAATAAATAAATCTTTAAAAAAAAAGTTTTAAAAAAAGAGACATATTGAATTTAAAAACAGGGTGGAGAATACACTATTATCCTGTGTGGAAAATACATATTTAATTATATTGTTAAAAACAGAGTATTTCTGAAAAGATATGCAAACACTGGCTATAATTTTGCTGCAGTGAGATAAACAAGTCATGGGGAGGAAAAGAGAGGGTTATTTTTGGTTTTATCTCAAGTGTATTTATTACCTACTCTAACTTTTGTAATCTAAAAAACACTCCTCCCTAATAAAGAAAATGTTTTAATATCAATGTAGAAAAGGGATTTTTTGTAAGTTGATGATTTCTAGGATATCCCGACCTAGATTTTTTTTCTCTTTCAGTGGAGAACTTGGGTTCTGTTACCACTTAACTGTATAATATTGGCAAGTCAACCACCCACATGAACTCACTCTCAACTTCAAATGAAGGGCTTGGCCTATAGATGACTTCCACAAGTTTCTTTCAGGTCCAAGACACTATGATTATACAACTTCCTTACTTGATTATGCAATAGTTGAAAAAATGCAGCAAGAATTGAAATGTGTGTCGAATAATTTGGGGTATGTGGCAGAAGCAATCGCATACAATTACTATGTTCACAGTATGTTTCCTTTTTAAACCATTTAAATTCCCTTTGATTGCTATTCCATTTCTCTTTAAAATACCGAAGCAACAACAAAAGAGGCATGTTCAACTGATGAAATTTATTTACTTTTTTTTTCTAGGTACATAGATGACATAATTATAGACAAGATTTGATACATAGGAAAACCCTTCTGTCCACCTTTCTTTTTGCTAAATGAATCATCACAATAATTTTTACAATTTTTAAAACAATACACAGCGTTCCTGGGCTGAAGCAATTGCAATAACATATTGGTACTGGTATATTACAGCTACTTACAATGTTTAAGAACAGCAATGGAGAAAAATAAGTTATTTAAATATTGATTTCATATACAGAAAGTGCAATGTTGTTAGTTGTTATATAACTTGCTTGACAGTTTCTTGTTTTCTCTATCAATTTAAAATCAAAATAACTTGGACTCAGACTACTATCTTTTTTTCCAAAAATAATACAGTACACACATGCAGCCTTGACTAGGTGAGCTGACTTCTTTTGCTGCAGTTATGAAAGCAAACTTTGCTATGTCAGGAACTTAATTCTAACAGACGAGTAATCTCCAAGTTCACCCACATCCGGGTTCAGGACAGAGAAAGGGGCCTCTGACTAAGGCAAGGCCATGGGAATGCATCTGCTCCTTGGCTGTCCGGGAAGGCGAACGTGTTTGGGCTGGTTGCATTTCCTAATAACAGCTTCAAAGTAAAAACGACACAGTGAAGGTGCAGCTACCTGAGCCAGGTTGCTTTTGTGCTTTCCAAAGACAATTTTCACCATTCCTCAACATTCCCTACCAAGTGCAACTGGCTAAAACTGGATATCGCTGAAAGCCCCACCTGTCCTGTCGAGTCCCCAGGTGGCCCCAAACCACCTCAGTCAAATGTCACGCACAAACATCCTAGAATCGAATTAAACATTTAAAGCAAAAGAAGACCAAAAATTACTACAGAACTAAAAACAAAAGATTAAAAAGAAGCACACTAAAGTAAAATCAACCTCAGACCACTCAGATTAGGAAGACCTTCCCACTGACAATTATTCATGGTCCCTGAATTTGATTTTTCTAGGCAAAGGCATTGAATTCCAAAGAGGGGTGACAAAAATACAGTTTGGCATTCTCAAAAACTCAAATTCAGAACGTTCCCTTTTCTGGTGCCACTTTACTGAAATGGAAATCTTACGCTGCAACTGAACTAAAACAGAAATGGACGTAAGGGGTCTCCTCCTCCTTTGTTACCTATCCCAGGACACCTGTGTGGTCTATTTGCTCAGTTTATACAAAGAGCAGGGCCCTCAGAATGTCACGCTGAGTAGATTCAAAGGCAGGAGGAGGAGACAACTTGATGGCAGCCACCCACGCCCACCACAGCACTGAAAATATGTCTCAATCATGCATGAGAACCCTGTAGCCTCGTTCCTCTCCAAATGGGCTCTGCACACCGGGATGTCATGACTGGAGGCGAGAAAAATGGGCTGTTTTATGAGTTCAATAGAAATTTGGCAGCTGTGAGCTCTTTACTCTACACTTCCACCACTTCTTCACATGGCATCTCATAGAAGGTGAATATTACTGAAGAAACACATATTATTTTACAAACGTACATCAATGCATGAAAAAATGTTACCACCTGAGAATGTCCTTTTCCTCAGAAACAGAAAGCAAATGCTAACGATGGCTTCGTAAGGAATGAAATCACTTTTTGTTCCCTGAGGGAAAGCGTGTTTTAAGGAGTTGATGAAATATTACAGAAATTTCATCAAGGCTTCGTGTTCAAAGTGTTTCTATGGTAAATGATCACTTTCAGTGCCTACGAGTGCTCATGATGAGAATGTAAAGGAAAATCATTGTGCAAGTAATGGAAACCTTCATATTTAGTTGTCTAGATTTGTTTGCTAGAAAATCAGTCACTAGACTAAAAAGGGCAAATCTGTTGAAAAACAATTGAAAACAGGCAAATGTCTTACTACATGGCTAATGTGGTTTGCTTGGCTCCATATGGACCTTCACTGGAATTAAAAAAAAAAAAATCTAAGTAGAAAGGAAAAAAGAGTATCTTAACTATAAAATTGAAAGAAAAAAAAAAACACACCTGAAAAATCTCTTGCAAACTACTTCCCTTAAAAAAAAACTTTCTGAACTATTCATCCTCACGACTTGTTGCAAAGGTGATCTGTTAGCTGATGGCTGAATTTTGGAATGGACATGGTCAGGTGCCAGGTTGATGCCGTAGCATGAAAATAACATGGAAAAAACACTAAATTGGTTAAAATGAAAGGTAGTTGCCACGCGCTTGTGCATGTCTGCACACACATGTGTGCACACATGCAATGTCTGTGAGTTTCAGATAGCTTTTTACAGGATTAGTTTAAAAACGGAAAGCTGACATGAAATTTGTGTCTGATAAACACACTTACAAATTAAGCAATGTTAGAATAAGACAGTTAGAAAAGCCCATTTTTGCTGAAAACATCCCAGGTACGTCAGATGGCAGTTTAAGCTGAAGAGTTGGGAGTATAGTTACAGGGTAGTGAACACTAGTTAAGTAACTGCTTAAAAGCTTATATTAAGGCAAATAAAAGCTGATTGCGAGAAAGCAATTATTAAAATGTCTCTTGTTTATCTAAAGGAGAGTAGGAATTTTTTCCCTAGAGCAGCCGGATTTTCTTACTTTGAACAAAAGAGCGTGGTCAGTGGTGGACAGTCACTCCCGAGCCTGTTCCTTTGGCCTAGCTGAAGCCCGCCTGGCCTGGGGGTCCCTCAGGGTGACAAGACAGAAGAGCAAGGGCGCTCAGATCAGAACAGGTCACCCCTCCCTCTGCTCCCAGCCCCCTGCCCCGCGCACAAGGACAGACTGGAGGCACCGAGTTTGTGGCAAGTTGGCATCTTGGTTCTTTTGTGTTCCGGAAATAAAAATAAGTGCTTGTCTTTTCTTTGGGGGTCAAAGAGAACCTCATCAATGTCCTCGAGGGGGCTATTCTGGAGAAAAGAGGGTTATGGGTCCTGTGCCAAGCTGTCGAGCTCTGGCCACACACTGGGCCTTTCTTCTGGATCTGGGCTGCGTGTCCGGCAGAGGAGGAACTGCATCAGCATCACAAGCACAGTGACAGGGTGGCTCTTGTCCAGAAGGTCCGTGTGGGGTCTGGCTACATGGCCTCGGGGCCTGGCGGCAGTTTGAAGAGTCTAGCCGCAGACACGAGCTTGCTTATGTGTCTCTCCTCTGTAATGCCGGCCTCCTGAAGGCAAGTGTGTGACAGAGAAGGCACGTGGCCCAGCGTGCTGAACCCCGCTTCTGTGAGGGTGCTGGTGTACATGGGCAGACCGATGGAAATCAGCCAGTCTGACATGGACGAAACGCATCCCGGGGATAGGGGCTTCCTGCAGATCTCGGTGAGTCCACCGCTTGGGATCTGGGTAAATAAAGAAAACACTTTTATCACGACTCTCCAAATGCCACGGGGGGCCACTTTTCACATGCCTAAAGGGATGTTATTGAAGGATAATGACTCAGCTACTATGAAGTGAGGATGCCAGGATACCAAGAGTAGCATCAAGAATTTTCTCTCAACTTCTCAAAGGAAAGATGGATCATCAAAGTGTGTGAGGCACTTGGAATTGGATCTACCCCAATTACATGTCCATGTCTACATACTGCAGGCATTAGTGTTTCTGACTATCTTGTCTCATGGTGATTAGCTCTTTAGGGAGAAACTTTCCTGTGCAATACTGTGAAAGGTAAGATTCTGAATGGGTAGTGGGTTTTATGAGGCAGATTTTCCACTTTATCTTGAATCTACATTAACCACCAGAAAAGAAACCATCTCATTAACACATTTATAAAGAATTTTAAATACAAACCTCTTTTTTTTTTTAACAGATTTTTTTTTTTTAGATTTATTTATTTATGCATACTAGAGCTGGGGTACCAGAGGTGTGTGGGGGGGATGGTGGTGAGAATATTCACCAGAAACAGAGTGGGGAACAGAACAGACAGATTGACTGAAATACACTGCTGAGGGGAGCAGCAGACGAGACAGGAGAGGTCTGCTACGCCATGTGGGTCGCTCCCTGGCCGGCAGGGATTGAACTCATGCTGCAGTGGCTGCAGATAGCTTCATAGGTTGCATCTTAACCCCTTACACCACCAGGGAGGCCCTTAAATACAATCCTCTCAAGGATAGGCTCGGGCAGGGATGTGGAGACATTGATCTATACTTGATTTTTAGGGAGACTGAAAAGATGGAATGGTGACTTAGTCACAAATGCAAAAAAACCTTCAGCTTTTGTGCCATCTTGAGGACACAAATCCTCTTGAAGGAATAAACCCCTAGAAATTAACCTTGGAAGTATCCAAAGATTTATTTAAAAAGACATTCTTTATTATATTGAAAAAATCTTGAGGAAAAAATCTGTTTCAGACAGGAGTTGGCTCAGGATATATTCACCTAGTGGGACACTTGGGAATATGGAAAATCCAAAAGAAATTTTAGTTAACAGAGAAGTAGATCCATGAACTGATCATTGAAAAAACTGCAAAACTGCTCATTTCCACTTATGCACAGAAAAAGGACTAGACGGACTTTTAAAAACTTTCATAGTGTTGGACCTCCCTTGGTGGCGCAGCGGTTGAGCGCTGGGCTGCGAGACTGCCCGCAGCCTCTGCAGCACCGGTTCGTTCCCCAGTCGCCGGCGAGGGGCCCACAAAAAAAAAAACCAAAAACAAAAAAACTTTCATAGTGCCGGGATAATTTGCATTTATTTAAATTTCCAAAATAGCATTTAAAAATCTTTTGTAGGAATATGTATTTCGTGCCCCCAGTGTCTCCCTTCGAGAGCTGCAGAGACCCCTCAGCGGCTGTCGGCTGACCCATCAAGCACCGTCACTGACCCGACTTCACCTCAGGTGCCAGGGAGCCCAGGATATAGCCACTCACCGCCATGCGGTGCTGCTTCCGCAGCTGCTTCACACGGATCTGGTCCATGTTGGTGGCCACGTCCCTTTCGGGCTGATCCAAGTCTTCTGCGTATCTCTGCACCAGGGCTTCCGGGATCCCACAGCGCCCGTGCTGCCAGGAGAGCAGAAAGATGCATCAGATGGCAAGGAAGACCAGACACCAGACAGGGTGAGACATTTCAAAACTGGAAAATAGCACCCCAAGTTTTAATTTTAGGTAAATATATATTTTTTATAGTCAGGATGGGTGTTCAGAGGGAGCACTTTTTACAGCTTTACCTTTCAGGTACTGACTGATGAGCTATAGGAAAATGTTTTCAGATATAATTAAAACAGAAAACAGAACATGATCATCCTCTATTTCTTTGGTCTGGTGCCTTCACCTGCTCTACCTTATTCATTTGCAAAATGTTATTAAAGACAGTCTCCTGAACAGTAGAAGGCAAACTGTGTGGGCTTCATCTACGAAGAGTTACACCAACAGCAACTGGTCTAGCATTTACTGTAGAATTCTCACAACTTTCCACTCAAAGGGGTTTATTCACTAGATGTCAAGGAGGGGGAAGTGGAGGATCTTACTGCCAGGCATTAGTGGTCCTAAGAACTTGATAACAAGGATTCCCAGCGATGGGAACAGCTGTACTAACATACAGCTATTAACCTCCATTTGTCGCAAAGTCATTTTAGGATCAGTAAATCTACATGTCCTTTTAATTTTTTTTTACAAGAAATGATTTTTTCTTACAGATCTCAATGGTTTGGGTCCAATGGGATGGTTTATGTCATCTTTCCCCCTTGATACTTAATTATATAATTATTACATCTGAATAGGGTCCTATAATTGCCTATATGTTAGCATTTAATACTACTAAGAGATACTTATGCAAGTTATTATTAATCCCATTTTACATATAGAGAATATGGTGGGATCTGTTGATGTCTAAAAGCACACAACGAGTAAGACAAGGAATTAGGAATTCAGGCTTGTCTTGTCCACAGAAGTTTCAGGATCTAGTCTATTTCTGACAGTTCGTCCCGCAAAGTACAGTTGCTGAACATCAAAAGCAAATAAGCAAAAGAAGGGAAGGGAAAAGAAGGGCAGGGCGGGGCAGGGCAACTCTGAGGCGCCATCTGACCCGGTGCTCCCCATTCACCCGACTGGGCCCTGCAGAAAGGGTCACCCTCACTCAGGCCCGCGGGCCTCGGCCCCAGTCCCGAGTTCCCCCCGCCCCGCTGCCTGGCTCACAAAAGCGCCAGGGATACCTTGTCAGAATAGGGCTCCTCGGTGAGGTCGATGCCTTCGGCCCGTAACTTGTTTTCCGTGAGCATTTCCAGATCCACACCCCGGACACAGGAGGCCTTCCTGGCCCCGGCAGGGCCCAGCTTCACGCCATGCTCCTGGAGGCTGGCGCTCTCGGGCAGCTCCGACAGCCAGGGCGGCCGTCTTGCGCTCAGGGGGCTGCCGGGCTCCTGTCCTGAAGGGGGCCTGGCTGCCTGTGCTGGGGGACAGTCGCTGGGGCTGCAGCCCCTTTTCACCGGCAGGCCGGGCACATCAGGGGTGGCAGGCCCGGGGGCACCCGGGAGGAGTCCGTTGGCGAGGCGCTCCCTGCTCTTTTTGGCGGGCACCGGTGGAGGCTGCGAAGGCGTCTTGGCCTGTGTTCTCACCTCAGGGGGCCTCTGCTCAGCATCTCCCCCTTCTTTGGTGCCCGGGGGATGACAAGTTCCTCCAAAATCGAGTCCTTTCCTAAGACCCTCGAGAGGCGTCCTTGGTAAACTGTGCTTAACTCTGGGAGGGTAAGCGTCAGTGTTTGGGGGCACATACAGAGGAGGTGATGTGCCCTGTGCAGAGGCTGCTATTGGGACATCCAGTTTCTTAGGAGTCACTTTCTGAGGTTCAGAAAATCTCTTGCTTTGGGCCAGTAGCAATACACTGTCAACAGCAGAGCCTCGGCCGGGGCCCTGAACCTTGGTGGAGGAGGGGGCTGTCTTTTGTGGCACTTCTGGTACAGTCTGAGGAGGTGGTGCTGGCACGTGGTGAGGCGCGTCTTTTTCAGCCTCCGGCTCTCCTTGAAGGTCATCCAGGGAATGAGACCGGGGCCAGGCCGCCACAGGTTGGGGGTCCTCCAGGGTCTCACAGCTCCGGCAGATGGAAACGGGCAGGCTCCTTCGGTTTTGATTCAGACCCGTCCCGCAGGGCTGGACACAGGGCTTGGTTGCGTGAGGGGCCCGGGCGCCGCCAGGCCGGCCCTCCTCTCCCTGCTTCAGCCCCTCCACCGGCTTGGTCAAAGGCAACGTTGGGTAGTTGCCCAGCTGAGTCTTGTGGAAAGACTTCAAGCTGGACTCAGTTGATGACTTGGCAGAGAGAAGGCCAGCTTTCCGAGTCTTGCCTGCAAGACAAGGAAATATTTTACAATCACGTCTCAAAAAACAAATCAATCCAATGGATGTATAAAGGTGTGCTGACATCACTGAAATCCCCAGTTCCTAAAGCCCATTGGTGACTTACACAGAGGACATAAATCACCATCTATGACCAGGGATGAGAGAAGGCTATTTCAGCACCATTTTTATTTTTAGAAAGAATTCTTAGCTTCCTGAAAGGACTGAGAGAGACTCAAATTAATTGAGTCATGTGGACAGACCTTTGCTGTCTCCGGCAGTAAAATAAATCCACACTGCAATCAGTGTGGAAGGAGGTTGCTAGTCCATATCCCAGGAGCAACCACACTGATGGGATTTCTGTAGAGTGAGTACAATTTCCTCAGGCTGGGAAAGCTGGACTGAAATCCAGAAGGTTCTATGTGTGTTGCACCACCCCGCCAGGTTCACTGATAAAGTGAACTCTCATATTACACCTTCCCCCAAGACTTAGAGGTTTGTTACTGTGCATGAAATAATGGTATCCTAGAAACAACTGACAAAATGGTACAGACAAGTAAACAGCCTAAGTATTTGCCAGACAGTCTTTAAACACAGCTATGGTTCTAGGTCCCAGTGCTGAAACCATAGCCCTGATTGAAATCAACTGTCGGACTGACTGCTGACCTAGCAGCCACACATAATCTACCTATTGACAGCTGTTGACATGTTAACTGCCACTGCTGCTGGATAAGCTTCCCCAGAACCTGCGATCCAGGGGCAGGCAGGCTCTGTGCTAAATGCAGAGTTCTCACCGATTTCTACACATCTCCACATGTGCACACACGATCCTCCCCAATTGATAAGAACACTTTGAGTGGCAGGGTCCCCACAATGCTCATTAGAATTGGGATCAGGGTTGGTCTAGCAAGACACTTGGGAGAGAAACTTCATAATATGAAGGTGATTGCTCCCCCTCGCTCAGCTCCCTCTAGTCCTGTTTTTTGTGCCCACAATAGTTTTCAAGCTTTTTAAAAAAACATGACCCACAGTAAGGACACATACATCTATCATCAGTAACTCACACACACACACACACACACACACACAACAGAGATTACTAATCTAACCTATGAACACACTGGTAATTTTTTTTTCTCTTATCCTAGAAAAGCACGGTTCATGGCCCTCTAAACTGATTCACAGCTCCCTCATGAATTGCAACCTGCAGTTTAAAAAGCTCAGCTCTAGAAAGTGCTCAATAAATATTTCAGCACGTGGGCTACTCCTTAGAATTCCAGTGGCAGCTACAAACTATCAACCCTGGGCATGGTTCATTATGGTCTGCCAGTGTTGTACAGAGATTTAGGGGGACCTACTACTGCTATATTTAATCTGGCTGGAAGGGGAGTTTGGGCGTCAAACCACAGTCACCCGTGGAGACACTGAATGCGCCTGACCCCAATTCACCTTGGGCTCCTCTCTGTTCAAGACAAATGAACTTTCTGAAATTTCCCACTGACCTTTAGGACAGGGAAGCACAGGCCAGACACATGGTCCTGGAACCGCCCTCTCCCTCCTCAGCTGCCTGGAGCCAGGCCCCCGGGGGGAGGCATTCGGGCTGCCTGCCTCTCGTGGCCTTGATGAACGGTCTACTGGCAAATAGTTTTCCTTCTGTGCCTAATAGTTTCTAACACTCCAATGTTGGTTTTTATTGTGAAAATAAAAGGACCTAGGAGACATACAATTTAGATTTTACAGCTGCAGGTATTTTAGATGGAATTTATTCACCTCCACAGTCATCAGGAGGTAGAAATGGTACAGGCTAACAATAGATGGAATAGTGAAGAGGTCAAAAAAGAAAAGCATGCTCTACAGGAAAAGAACAAAGACTTTTGTTAGTCTTTAATCTGATTTTTAAAGACTTCATATATAAGATAAGCCTCACAGAGTCTGAGTGATAATCAGTAATTACATACATAAGCACCTTGGCCACTGCCATAGTCAGTGCTTAATAAATGCTAGGCATTATTGAGGTATTATTATTTTTTTTTAAAAGATTTATTTATTTATACAAGCACTGGGTACAGTCAGAACTGCGGAAGGGTGAGAGAATTCACTAGAGCCAGAGCAGGGAGCAGAACAGGCAGACCGACGAAATACATCACTGAGGGGAGCAGCGGGCAGCAGGAGAGGTCTGCGCGCCATGTGGGACCCTTGCTGGTGGCCGGGGATCGAACCGACACTGCAGAGGCTGCGGGCAGCTTCACAGCCCAGTGCTCAACTTCTGCGCCACTGGGGAGGCCCTTGAGGTATTATTATTTTGTTTAATTCTTAGAAAAATTTACAAAAGAGAAACTCCTATTACTATGTCAGAAGGAAGGGGGCTCTGAGACATTAAGTAACCTCAGTCAAGTCTTCAGTGACACGCTATTCAGGATTCAAACCCCAGGCCTCCTTGCTCTACACCCATTGTTCTTTTCATGACCCATGTTGGGTTAAGACCCGAAGGCTGCCAGACAACGCAAAGCACAGGATTCCCTTCTCTGACACATAAGTTAGTCTTCAACTCTTCTCCCTCTTGCTAAGAGGGATGGAAGAATAAGTGTTGGGAGACCAGTGCATAGTTGTTTCCTAAAACATCAGCTGCCCAGGTTGGGAGATGTTCGTCTTTCCACAGGGTGTTAACTGAGCACCCGTCACCATGGAGATGGCCCCCTCCCCACTGCCAGCATTCTCAGAGGCAATGGCTCAGGCTGAGGAAGAAAGGTGGTCATCAGTCAGAGCACAGATGTCCAGGAGTGACCCAGTGCCCACACGGCCACTTGCATCCCAGGTCGTCTCTGTGGACATACCATTTTCCAGGTTCTCACTGCTCTCGTAGCATCCAGAGTCTCTTGGCGAGCACCCCCGCAGGCCCTGGCTGTCGACAAGCAGCTTCTCCTGCGATCCTGACTGGTCACTGTTACCTAGGCAAGGGGACACACCACAGGAATCATAAGGGAATGGAAAAGCAGAGGTTTCCAAGTTCCTTAAATCCCCCAAACCCCATCTGCTTAGTTTTCACCCTATATTTTAACCCTTGGACTTTTGGAAGAGGATGAATTATTTTAAAGTAAATGAGAGAAACATGAATGAGCATGTTTTCTTCTAGGAATGATATCTAAGTTTCCAGAGAAGAGGGAGACAAGAGTTGGACTACATCATGCCTGTGAAGTCACACTGAGGGCGACTCTGACCTCAGCCCATCAGGGAGTGGAGACATCTAGGTCACGTGTGGGGGAAAAGCACCATCCTCCTGAGGGAAGCAAAGGGGGAATAAATGCCCCTCTCAAGAGGTGGTGTCAGATCGTACACTTTCTAGAGCTTTCTAAGATTGTATTTCAAGTTCTTTGTGATCAGCCTTCCAAACTTGGGAGCTAAGCTAACTGCAAAATAAGTGGCAAATAAAACGTCAACTTTTATTACAATTTAGGAGCATTCTCAGCCCTTGTGGACACATGCTGGCTTCTGTATTACTTCAGCAGGAGCGTGGTTGGCAGACAAAACCCAAAAGGATGAGAAGCCAGAGGCAGATCTTTAGCTTTTGTTTTTTGGAATGTGTGAGGAGCTTTGCTTTCCTTCCTGCCTTTCCTTTGTCTGGGCAGGCATTTCCCCTGCCTGGACATAGAGGAATAGGCAGGGAGAGCCCTAAAGCCGTCTGAGCACAGAATGCCCTTGAGGAGGACTTGTCCTTATCCTAAAGACTTGTCTGCAGCCCCAGGTGTGTCTGCAGAATGAAGCTGCTTAGATGCAATTAGAGTCCCTCAGGCCTCCGTCACCCCATAGTGCTGCCCCGAAGTTCCATAAAGAGGACTCGTGTGGCCTGTCCTGGGGAGGAAGCTACACCAGGTGCATCTTTTGTCATCATCTGGATAACCGCTTGGTCACATACAACAGAAACCATTTTCTACATAAAATGACTAGCTCCATGATGAATGGCTTTATTTTTTTTCTCTCTGCTTCCCCTCCCCCTACCACAAACACAAAGAAAAAAGAAATCAATAAACCAGAAATCCGATGCCTTATAGCAGTCATTTGAGAAAATAAAAATTGCAGCGAGGCAGAGGACTGTCATTCCACACGGCAGCTGCACCCACTGTCCGCTCGCCACTTGCTGCTCCCATTTCTCACAAGGGCCGCACTTAGCACAGAAGTTCTTCAATGAGAGCTCTAAACAAAGCAGTGCTAATTTTAAAGTGATTAATGAAAATTAACTAATTGGAAGAACAGGAGTAAGCCTTTGCCCCTGTCCCCGAACTCAAAGTGGAACATTCTAGAGTAATGTCCTCATTGTGTGGAAGAGTCTGTGGATTTGGAATGGCCTTTATTCTAGCCTAGCATGTTATTTAGGAAAATGATACTTATAAAATGAGGGCTTTGAACTATCAGTTACAGCCCAGGAAGAGGAATTGATTCAGTGTGTCCTTGGTTAGACAGTTTGGTCCCGCTGTGGCCAGACAGCAAAGTGCTGACCGTTGGGAATAAAACGGAAAATGCATCCCCACCCCCTAAGAATGCAAGCTGTGTCTGTATCTTTGGGGCTGCCAGCCTCACCAAACACAGCAGAGCACCCGAAGTTATCATGGGGAGCAAAGGGATCCCTTGTTTGATCTGAAGAATGGATCAATTTAAAAAATATGAAGTTACAGTAACTTTCTTTCTAAAAGAGCCAATCAGCAGCTGTTTAGTGGGGCTCTCTCTATCAAGTTTAGCAAAATTCCTAATAACTATAAGTCAGTGTTTCCTAAGTTGGCTGTCCTCCCTCACTAGAGAGAACAGAGAGGTGGGAGCCCCTAGGATGTGTTGCAGATTCAAGGTCATAGCCTCTTCCCACACATACCAGCGTGAACGCCAAGGCACAAAGAATCAGAAAGATCAGATGAGTAGAACCATGAATCATCCTCAGTCAAATAAGGACAGAGGACTAAGCTGTGTGTCTAAAACCTCATTTGGGCATGACCTGAACTTGGGCTTGAGGGGACTTTGCTTAAGAAGTTCTCCCCTATCGCACCTTAACACGCTCATATACACACCAGCGGAGAGGAGAGTATGCTAAGATGGTGAGATCCCCAAACAGCAACAGGTGCTTGTGTGCCAGAAACCAACACCTACCAGAGAGCAGTCACTCCAGGAAGGAGGAAGGCAAGGCAGTGTGGTTCTCAAAGCCAAGGCCATTCAATGGGCTTACTGCATGTATTTCTTTAATAAATAAGAATTGAAACGAAGTTTCAACAAGTTTTAGTTCAATTTTGGAAATAAATATATGGATTTATTTTATTTTTCTCTGTAGTCTTCTGCATATTTTTAAAAAAGAGCTGATAAAAATTCTGATAAGCAAGATTAACTTAATAGAGAGTTTTCATTTCACTGACCAGGACAGTGAGTTTGGAACCAGTGTAAGAACTGCTATTGGATAATTAAGAGTGTTAAGATCTCCATGGACCTTCATCTCTGTCTAGTGTATAGAAACCTAGTTGGACAGGAACCGTGTTCCCACAAGTTATAAGTGGAGTATTTCTCAAACACAATAAGTATAACTGCACTGAATATAAAATCTTATAACCCTCTGATAACTCTGGTCCCAGACTATTTGGCACCCCTAAATGCTTGGAGCCTTTGTTTTAAAACCAATAAAAGGAAGTACTACTTGATGTACAGGGCTGTTCTGAACAGAGGCACAAACAGATCTGAAAGGGGATTTATGAAGATGCAAAGAGTCTTCCTTACTTAGACTTCTGAGTTAGCTCCACGATGAACAAGGATTGCCTCCGAAATGCCCCCTGATGTAAATCTCCGGACATGATCCCAGGAAGGACAACAAATCTGAGCTAAGGCAGCACCATGGGGACTAAACACAGATCCTGCATTGGACCCAATATTTAGCTTTGCTCCATGGCTGTTCAGATTGCTAAAGGAACCATAATGGATGGGGCTTAGACGTCAGCTGTTCTCAGAGGCTGAGGAAGAGCAAATGAGCTATTTTATGAACAGATGTGATCCGGAAGACTAGATGATTCCACATTAATTGATATTAATACAGCTGGCCGGCACACCAGGCGCTGTGCCAGTCTCTCCATACAAACCGGCCAGAGGCCTCCGAGGCATCTCTTGGGGGATTCAAATACTAAAGAGACCTGGTTATAAGCTACAGAGACCTGATATTAACTGCAAAATACAATTTTCTCCAAATCTCTCCCTGAAGGCAGCGTGTTTGTCTAGGGTTCAGGTGTCTGTGTGATGGTGTGTGGTTCTCTATGTGATCAGTTAATTTAGAGGGAGTACCTATTAAGCAGGAGTGAATTTAGCTGCACTGAGACCCTGGATTCCATGTCTCTTGGGCCTGATACATTCAGTAATGTATAATTTTTTTTCCACCATTAACCATGGTTTCGGTATCTTTTAGCAAAAGAAATGCTATTAGCTACTGATATCCCTGAAGCAGAGCACTTGAAAGAAAATGCATTTGAATTCAATAACTGGAAAGGACACTGCCTTCATGATGGATCATTTCAGAAACATTTTTTGATGTCAGATTGAAGAATAAAGAGCAAGATAAGACTGGGTTAATGGAGCAACAGATACAGAGTATTCAAATAGACTACATAAAAGCTCTGAGCTCACTGAATTCTGCTCTGAGCTCACTGAATTCTGCTCATGGATTGTAGAAATAAGCGAGCATTTTGGCCTGGAATTTGCAAGAGAACTGTCTGCTCTATGTGTTCACTTAAGACATTTCCCTCTTTTTTAATGGCATCTGATGGATTTCATTTATTCATTATCCAACCTATTCAATAAGAAAATAACTCATGATGGGCTTTGAGAGACAATTAACTCTTAGTGAGGCAAGATACCCTTAGTTTGTCATTTTTCCAAACCCAATGACCTGCCTTAGTACTTAAGGTGGCACCTTTGCTATTTCTTAAGAAAACTGCAATTCAGTTCTCAGACACCTAGACAGCTTTCTCTATTCCTCTATTACTAGAAACATGCTAGGAGAGACATTGGCAATAAGGATTTTAGGAGAGTCTATACTGTGCTGTTTGACATAACACAATATTGACTTTGGCTCTGGAAAAAGCAGGCCCCAATGAGCAACTCTAGGGACCTACGCCTATTCTGGCAGCCTACAGGAGGTGTCTGGTGACCCACAAATGTGGCTGTGTCCCCAGGATTTCTGTGTTGGGCAGGACATACTGTCATATTCCTGTAACAGCTCCACCGCGGTCAAGAGAACAGCTCTGTGTTCTGGGTCCCTGATGTTTAACTCATCCAAGTCTTCCTCCTCCAGAAGCTTAAAAGTGTCCAGATCTTCATATCCATTGAACAGGAAAGTGGGCATGTGCTCCTGGGAGGGAAAGAAGACAGCAGTGAGCATGACCCACCCTGTGGATCCCTGACCGACCACCAACTCACCCCCTAAACTCCTTTTCCCCTAGTGGTCTTTATAGTAAGGCCAGTAATCTAGCCTGAGTCTCCCAGTCTTATGGCTTAGTAGGCAGGTTCTATTAATCAAGGGTCAAGAAGACACACTGCAGGCTGAGACGGGCCCCATCGGCTGGCAAACACATGCGGCGCACAGTGGAGGAGACTCTTCCTTCACTACAGAGCTACTGAAATCCAACCCCAAAAGCCCTGGATTTCCTCAGCAGCAAGAGGGTTTTGCAAGGAGGAAATAGAATCTACCACTGTTGCCCCACCACACTCGATGTGGGGGAACATGAGAGCGAGGTGGGAAGGGAAAACATGGCCTCGGAGGTGACAGTGAGCAGGGGACCGGGGTTTTGTGCTTATAGCCCTTGCTGGTAGCAGCCCAAAGCTCACAACAGCCTGAAAGCTGCTCTGGGGGCCAATAGCCCACTTGGGTTTATGCTATCACCCAAGGCAGGGGTCTAGGATGGGGTTAGGATACTGGTAACTATTTCTATAGACTGAAGGCTCTTCTCATAGCACTGGGCCATGCTTATCGGATGACAAAGGCCACCTCCTGCCCATCCCTCAAAGCGCCCACCCTGGCTGAGTCTAGGAGGAGAGGACACGAGGAGGAGCATGACCTGATCAGGAGGGACTGACCTTCAGGTTGATCCGATCTAGGAGGTCCTCCACGGACTTGGGCTGGGGGGGTCTTCCTTTCCTCCTCCTCCTGGCTGGGCGCTTGGGCCTCTCCTCCTCCTCATTTAGCACATCCACGTAGATGAACTTGAAAGTGCCAACTTTGTTATTCAACAGGCCCATCCAGGTCCCCATGGGCGGCTTGCTGATTATATCGATGATGTCTCCTTTCTGCAGCCCGGGAGCAAAGATCCTTCCGTTAGGTACATTTCTAAGCATGACCCATCAACCAGCCAGCCCTGTTAATCACGCAGAAGTGAAAGCACTGCGAAGGCCAGTCAAGGGCTCCCCCGGTACCCTTCTGAGCATAGGAGGTGGGATGGGGAATTTGGCTGAGGGCCAGAGGGAGCAGCCCTGACTGTGCTGAGTCCACCCAGGCCAGGGGTCATGTCCCCTCCAGCCTGAAGCCTGCCTGCGGGCCCCTCAGTGTTCAGACTTGGGGGGCCATCTGGCCCTCCGAATGCCTTGCCATCACCCAGTGAGCTCCGGCTTGGGGAACAGTTCCCACCAGTCTAGGCCAGCTGCAATCCCTGTCCTGATGTTGCTTCACTCAATCTCAAAAACTGTTGTCTGTCATCTACAACTGTCCTTGGTCACATGGAAAAGGCAATGATGTTTCTTCGTGGAAGAAAATATAGAAGCTGGAGTGTGGAGGGCAACAGGAATTCTAGGGGAGAGTAGGGTTGGAGGACAGAGCCAGGGTGGTTAAGTCGGCCACGACAGGGAATAAACAGCAGACCCACCTCTGTCCCAAATGCTGGCTGGTTCTGATTTGTTTGCAGCACAGAGGAAGCCAGTTTACCAAGTGACCGAGACACAAGCCAGGATGCACCCCTCAGCCCAGCAGTCAACCGCAAGGGGAAAAGACCATTTCCCAAGGAAACCAAGAGCTGGTCTGGGCCAGGCAGACACACACCTTGAGCTTGAGCGAGTCTGTGTCATAGGGGCTGGGCGTGAAGTCCGTGTGCACCCTGGCGCGCCCACAGAAGGGGCCCCGGTAGGGAGGCTCCTCGTCGTCACCGTCCTCCGACTTGACACTTTCCCGGTTGCTGGTGGAGGAGTCGGTGGTGCTTACGGTCTGACCACCTGGGCAGGAAACAGCAAGAACAAGATAACAGATGTCCCCACGGCCTAGAGACTGAGCCCCCAGGAGAGCACAGGGTAAGGGGGAGTCTGGGCTGAGATCTTCGCCCTCTGAGTGTTATTATCCATCAAGATGGGGGTGACAGACAGCAAGTTATCATTTTGACACCAGGATCCAGGGGAGATGGTGACTCCCTCGTGGAGAATCCCTAAACACCCTTAATGTTCTTGGCCTCTCTCTGTCAGGTGTGCTGCTTTCACCCCATTACACAGTTGAGGAAACATACTCAGAGGTCACGAAACTTGACAAGATCAAATGCTTTAAAGGGGGAGGTTTAAAGGGCCTCCCCTGGTGGCACAGCGGTTGAGCGCTGGGCTGCAAAGCTGCCCGCAGCCTCTGCAGTGCCGGTTTGATCCCTGGCCACTGGCAAGGGTCCCTCATGGCGCGCAGACCTCTCCTGCTGCCCGCTGCTCCCCTCAGTAGTGTACTTCATCAGTCTGCCTGTTCTGTTCCCTGCCCTGGCTCTGGTGAATTCTCTCATCCTCCCGCGCTTCTGACTATACCCAGTGCTTGTATAAATAAATAAATAAATCTTTAAAAAAAAAAAAAAAAAGGGGAGGGGGTGTTTAAACTTAGTCCATCCCCTCCATACCATCTGGCCAATACAGAGTGCCCAGCACGGCTCTCTGGGATTTATCATTCTCCTCCCTTCCCTGCCTCTTATGTGTTGGCCTCTCCTCACGATTTCTCCCTTGACTTACTCCCCACACCCTTCCTCCAAGAAGCCTTTCCCACCTTCCCTGATCAACCCATCACCCCCTCTTTGGAGCACACAGGTGACTCTGGGCCCAGCTCTTTTTGCAGGCCTTTCTCACTCACGGCTCCCGAAAGGTAAGACCTTGGTCTCATGAATCTTTCATTTGCCTGCACCTCAGTGCAGTCTGACTCAACGCCAAGGGACAATCCCACCATCCAAACGCCACGTACTCATGGAGCTTTGGCCGCTCAGGGAACTGCGCAGACTCTCCACGGAACCTCCGGCTTTGAGCTTGGGCTTGTCCACGTGTTCCCCATCAGGCTGTGAAGATGGGGGGGAGCCAGGCATGCCGTCAAGACCTGAGTCCTGAAACAGGGTCCAACAAAATCAAGTCTCATCAGAATGAGCCTTTCGCATTTCCCAGTCATTCAGCTCTCAGCAAAGTCAACAGAATCCATCTTAACTTGATTCCCTGCCTAACAGTCTTCCCCTTTCTGACCTACATCCAGGCTTCATTTTCAAGCTATGGCCTATGCAAAACTTGTTAAGTGCTCAGATATATTTCCATGCCCAAAGTTCCAACCCAAGTGCCCTTCAACCCATGAATGGATAGAGAAACTGTGGGCATATACTTGATGGAATAATACACAGCTGTGAAGAAAGATGAAAGGGTGGTTTTGGGGACAAAATGGATGGGCCTCCAGGTGATTATGCTGAGTGATTTCAGCAAAAAATAAAAGACAGACTTCAGATGGTTTTACTCATCTGCGGAATGCAAATACCAGAAAAGAAAAAAATTATATGCAAACAATAGAAGGAATAAAAATTGAACTTGGCAAAAAAAAGAGAATGGTTCTCAGGGTGGTTGGGGGAGGGGTTGGAGATAATGGGGGTGGGAGACAAACAGGGTATGGGCATGGATGGTTTGATGTAGATAAAAAAAATTAATGAATGGCTAAAAAATTGGTATATATGCACAATGTAATACCATTTAACAAGAAAAAGATAAAATTCTGCCATTTGCAACAACCCAGATGGATCTAGATGGAATTATGCTTAGTGAAATAAACCAGACAGAAACAGACAAACACCATCTGACGTCACTCATATGTGGGAGATTAAGAAAACAGATGCCCCAAATAAAACAAAAATAAACTTTTTGACTGAAAGACCAATTAATTAGTGGTTACCAGAAGGGAAGGGGGTGAGTGGGTCAGTAAACCAGGAAGGCGGACAGTGGTGTGGTGAGGACAGAGCTAGACACTTAGAGGTGAACTTAACGTTGTCTATACAGGTGTTGACTATTAATAATGGGCACCTGAGTCTCAAATAATTCTATAATGAATGTTAATTCTTAAAAGCTTTTTAAAATGGGCCTCCCTGGTGGCGCAGGGGGTTAAGCACTGCACTATGAAGCAATCCACAGCCTCTGCAATATGAGTTCGATCCCCGACTGGCCAGGAAGAAACGCACATGGCACAGCAGACCTCTCCTGTCTCACCTGCTGCTCCCCTCAGCAGTGTGTTTCAGTCAGTCTGCCTGTTCTGCTCCCTACTCTGTCTCTGATGAATCCTCTCACCCCCTTCATCTCTGGCCTATACCCCAGCTCTTGTATGCATAAATAAATCTTTAAAAAAAAAACAAAAAAAAAACTTTTTTAAAGGCCAATAACAACTTATGACAAGATAAATTAAAAAAAAAACAACCTTTTTTTGTCTATAATAAAATTTCTGTATGTCATCCTACGGTTTTGCCTTCTTTCATGTGTTTTTAGTAAAAATCTATGAAATCCTTTCAGATCAGAATGCTGACTTACTGACTCAGCAGTACTTTTCACATCTGGGGGGTTCCATGTCATCAGCCTGGCAGCTCCTCTTTTGCACATGTAACCATAGCATGCTTATTAATGGGGCTACAGAAGAGACAAAGCCACTCTTCAAAATGTTTGCAGAGAGAATGGCGTACTTGCCAAGACAGAAAACTCTGGTATATTACGTGACCACGTGAGCACAAAACCAATCAAACAAAACCTATTATTTGCATGGTGCCGAATCATCAGAAGGACTTTAAACCAATTCTGCGGGCCCTGCAAACATTTAAGAATAGCAGCTTCTGATTCAACACACATTACTGGTGCTTTTTATTTGTGGACAGTGTGAAACCACCTCAAAAACAACTGCAAACAGAGGTGCCATTTCTGCAAATGCTGAAGTTGCCAAGTTTGAATTCTTGAACACAGTTTCATTCCTTCGTTATGGCTCAAAAGTCATCTTTCCAATTACATTCTTTATTTTAGTGCTTCTGAAAAAAGCACACATTTTGAAAAACAGTATTATTAAGTACATGTCTCTGATAGTGTATGTTTTCTAATGTTTTTTCAGAATGATTAATTGATTCATCACATCTTTATTATCTACAAAAGCAGGTACTATTCCAAGGGCTAGACTTAGTGTAGAACAAAACAAGACAGAAATCCTTACCAGTATAATTGATACATTTACTTGAAAGCTAAAAAAAAAAAAAACCAAACAAATCCCTGCAACATATGTATGTGAAATGAGTGCCTTAAAAAAAAAAAACAAAACCAGAGAATTTAGAATACAAAACTGCTATATGGTGGTAAAGTTACAGGAAAATACTGGAAATACATTAAGTTTCATGCACTTGATTCAGAAGCATAACGTCCCCATCCCCCCGCCTCCAGAATGTAAGTTTACAGGAGATTTTAGTGGATGTTGCAATTTGGAGGAAAAGCCAACTAAATAAAGTGCTTTCAATTAGCAGCGCCACTTTTGCTGGCACGCTGTCTGCTTCATAGAAGAGTTCACAGTTAGCTTCCTTGCTGGGCAGAAAGGCAGAATCCCCATGGCTCCCAAAGCCACAGGGACAAGGCAGGCAAAAGGAAAGCAGTGTGGAGAAGACACAGAGCCAGCCCAGTCTCCCACCTGAGCACTCTTACCATTTTGGCTAGGTAATTTTTTTAGTTGGGGACAAGGGGTGTCCTGTGGATTGTAAGACGCATCCTTGCCTCCCTACTAGATGTTAGTTGTGAGTGTCAAATCTGCTCCAGCCATTGCCCCCAAGTTGTGGGGGAGCAAAATCACCCCCACCCCATAAGAACCACAGTAATAAAGATATGCAGGCTTTCAATCAGTGCGGGTGGCCAGCTAGTGGGGTTCAGAGGGATTTCAACAGGGAGAGGCTGTTTTCAGCTCTCTCTGTCCACCAGAGGGCAGCAGCGGAGCAAGAATGTCTGCCTTCCCTGTTCTCATTTGGTGGGTAAAGCAGGATCACTGCCACATTCCAGGACACAGTCAGCTCTCACACAGGTACCTCAACAGACCACAGAATGAATACCATACAGGGGCTGGGGGAAAGTGTTTGGGAAATCTAATGGTTAAAATTACCTCAGGGCCCAGTTCTCCATGCATCTTTATTGCCCCCACCCATACAACTAAGGCAGAAAATGGTCCTATTGCTAGTGATGCCATTGTGGAATTGGAGGATGGTTAATTCTGTGACATCTGCATGGCCATAGGTAGAGCCAGTTAGTGAAAACATCCCCAGTAGAAACATGGTTTCTGTAAAGTCCTGCAGCTAGGAATCCCTTCTGAGTCTACTCGGATGTGCTACAGACTTCTAAAACAACTTATACTACCTTTGAAAAGTCCACTAAGAAAACTCAGGTTACTTCTGGCGATCTCCATTTCGTAGCAAGGATATTTTACAAAATAAAATCTTTCCTTGTGTTCAAACCATCTTTTCTTGAACCTCTCTCTCTTTTTTCTCATCTGTAGGTAGAAGCTGGGCCCATATTCCATGTCCCCAGCACTAAGCACAGTGTGAGGACATCCCAAAGAGATTAATAAATGTCCGTAGAATTGGATGTTTGTCTCTATTTATACGAGACGGTCCTGGAGCCTGGTTAACATGAGTATATTTAGCACCATTGAAAATCTCAGCCTCCTCACCCTCAACCTCCCTGCTGAGACAGAAGCAGAACTCAGGATCGGAATTGACGCACCTGCTCAGAGACAGAGCTGCTGTATTTTTTAGACATTCTCTTCCTCATTGTCTCTTTCACTGACTTCACCTTTTTTCCCAGAGAGATGCGGGAGGCAGTAGGTGATTTGATAACTTCTTTGTACACAAAATCTCCATCTTTACCCTGCAAAACAAAATGTTCCACGTATGTTTAATGTCAGAAAAGGAAGCCCCAAACAGGTTTTAGTATTCAATCCATTTATGTTCTACCTCTCAGAAAAATATTGCCATCCCCAGGATACTGAAGTTTTTCCTGTATTAACTCAGTGCTCAGTTAATTTACTTTTTCAAATAAAGACTGAAACCTACTGGTTAAAGGGCTTTTGTTTACATATATGTTTGTCTGACGTTGATGGGAGTCACTATTTTATTTAATCTTAGTACATTCTTCTCATCATTATTACACTTTTTTTCTGCCATTCTGAACACCCAAAGTAATGGCATTTCTCATCAATAAAGAGGATTTAGATGAACCAATGCTCACAAAATCCCAGTGGTGAGGGAAAAGAAAAAGCCAATACTACTGCATCACCCTGGGAAAGGAATAAGAACAAAATGGCAAATCTCAGTCATTGCAAATCCAGCATCTAACTAGTTCTGGCACTGCGGGCTCCATGTGGTCAGCTCCTATGAGTTTAAATTTCCTTTTCTGTGCAAGTTAAATTGTGGTCACCTCTCATTCTGTTCTGCACTGTTTAAAAAACAAACAAACTAGCTTTCCCTTGAGATACGAAAAACAAATGATATCTTTTTAAAGTTGACCACATAAAATTATTAGGTTACTAATCAATAAAATTTGACATCCAAGTCAAGTCAGTTTTATTTTTCCAAGAAATTCCAAAACACTTCAAAAATCACAGATGGTTGTTATAGCCAACATGTGATCCTAACGAAAACAAAGCACAGATTCTTAATTTCACAGTTGCCTGACAAAGGCCTAAGGGGAAAACAAAGCTATATGTAAAACCCACCTTCAACCTTAGGGTCAGAGAGGAGCACTAAGGGAGGAAACTTCTACCCCACAGTGGCCCAGGTCTGAGGAGGGAAGGCAGTAACCTTGACCCTGTCGAATCTGGGTTGCTTTGGAATCAAAGGGATGGGGTTCATTCCAGGACACCCCAAATGGGAACTACCCAGGCTGAGCACAGGGCATGATCATGGCCTGGGATAAGACCTGTAGGCATGCTGGTGTGGGGTCCCCATCCCCAAGTCACAGGGCTCAATACTGCCAGGATCTGCATGCAGCAGCCACATGAACTTGAAACTATCAACAAAAAGCAAATGTGTAAGAATGACTAAGACCATAGAACCCAAACTCATCTGGGTTCATGACTTGAAGAAACCTCCAGAAACAAAGGCATCCAAGGAAGGGAGCTATGACTGAAAGAGGGACAGAGGTGAGAAGCAGTCATTGCTCATTCCACAGGGAATAGTGAGGAGTCTTTAGGATGGTGACTGTGGTCTAGGATCAGCAGGACCAGTTCTCAAAGACGCCAGTGTGAAATGATGTCATCCAGAACGCTCAGATTCCACACTTCTGCTTCCTCTCTGACACATACTCACCATCGGATCAGAGCTGCTACTGCCGATGTGTAGAGAACGATTTGTCAAGTCGAAGCCTCCAAAACTGCAGGTTCTCTGAGGACAGAAGAGGGCAGGGAAGAAATGACCCAGTTATGCATAAGTCAGACAGGGAGGTGCTAACCCAATCCATTTCCCATTGCAGGACAGCACTGAATCACAAATATGTTACAGAATGAAGTAGGACATGAGAAATGATGAGGGAAAAGATACATGATACATGTTATAAGGAACCTTCTCTCAGTTTGTCACTGAAACTGGGTCTACACTGGGCCTGCACCAGGGGTGGAGGAGCCAAACCTCCTTAACATGCAAAAATCAACTGGTGAAAAACAGTAACAAAAGCCAGTCCACATGTTGGGTGTGGTGAGATTCCCTATTTCTTAGCAACAGCACTTTGTCTTATCAAGTCCCTTGAATGTCAGCTGCACAGTGTTGATAATGAGGAAATATCTCTTGGGAAACCCAGGTGCTCAGGAGTGTCTGGGAATGTCCAAAAAATCAGGAGTGTCCAAAATCCTATCATTCTGCCAGCAGGTTTTTCTAACAGACTCTTGCTTGGTTTTAAATCGCTGAGAATGGGGGCGGAAAAGGTTATGTTTATAGTTGTCAAACAGGCCAAGAGTATTACTCACTCACTGCCTCCCTGACCTAGCCAAAAGTGCTGATACCGTTCCCGTCTAGCTGCCCAAATTAATTATTCGTGACCCTTTTCTCATGGCACAGGAAGCAAAGATACTGCATTTGCCCAGAAAGAAAAAGGTTAGTTCAGTGACTATCTTTAACCATGTTTCTGAATTTCAGTAGGAAAAAACACTGATGTTACAAGTACTGAAAACTTTAGTATCCTTTCAGTTGCTTCCAATCTTTATGGAACTATTTCGATGTCAGTGATTTTATATTTCCAGAACTAGGTTTGAATTCCCTGTTGTTGTTCAAGCAAAAACTGCTGAAAGACCTACTCCTCTTCATCTCCCAAGTTGGTAAGAGAGGAACTTGAAGCACACACTAGTTTGTGGGCCAAATGATTATCTTTTGAAGCAATTGGCATTTAACAGCTGAAGAGCAGATTTGGTTTCCAATACCTTTTATTAACTGTTTCTCAGGGAACTCTTGTTAACAGATATTAAATGCAGGAAATGAACAGAAGTACCATGTAATACTAAAATGATTGCTTGTTGAAAAGAAATATTATGCATATTTTTTCTATCCATCCATCCATTAACATAAAGTAGAAACATTTACGCATCCAGAAAGGGAAACACCAAGACTTTTTTGGAATCACTCAGATGTCCAAATCCTGGCTCTATTCTTACCTGCTGTGTGCCCAGAGGTAAAATACTTAAACTCTCTGAGCTTGGCTTTCTTCCTCAGTAAAATACTATCTCTATCCTATACTTGAAACTTCTAGCACACTGCCTGGTGCACAAAGCAGAGACTCTATGTATGTTTCTTCCCTTATTTTCATTAAGCCTCTACTGAGAACTGCGTAGTTTGACCCAGCAATTGTTCCACATTCTGGAAACTTCAATTCTAAGACTAAAGCATCCCAGCAATGGGTCCAACAGAGACAGATGGCAGGTGTGGAGGGAGGTGGGGCAGCAGAGGCAGCGGTGTTACAGCTGGTATTTTCAGACAGTCACTATTCAGAATGTCACATTGCTTCCCTCCTTCACCAAAGCTGCTGTTTCTGTTTTAAATAATCTCCCACGGGTATGATTTCCAGTGGACACAATTCCTATGTGATATTAAACATTAGCAGACAATCTGACTTCCTTGGAGTCCCCTTAACTGATATCTGTTCTACAAAGAGAAGGACCTCTGTATGCAAAAACACCAAGTCCCCTCAGCTGGCAAGTGTTGTGATCACCTCACAGGCTAATGTTTAATATCCACTTTCCCTTTCCAACTTATAAGGCCACATAGAAGTTTTCATTTATGCAAAGGCAGGGATTTTTATTCTAGTTCCTTTCCTGTGATTTGAGGCCCCACACCCGCAGTATGGCACCCAGATGCCTCAGCCTTCTACGGCTTTAGCCCTTCCCTGCTGTAAATTCCAGCATCAACTCCAGCACCGCCTCCCAGCACGTTATTTCTAAAGCATATGAAATAAGTGACAAAGAATTTATGTGGAAACTATTATCTGCAATAAATTAGAAGCCCATTTATGTCTTCATAATGCCTGCTGTATGTATCTATTCCTAAAATAAAAAGCCTGAAGAGTGGACTGGTTTTCTTAACAACTGACTAAAATCTCTTCCAGCACCATGCAAAGATTTCTGGAACTGATTCTTCTGTATCAACAGAAGATGGGCCCAGAGTATAACAGCAAATGTAGCTTGAACTAATCTCCACCATTTTCTGTAAAGTCAAGTAGTTCTGGAAGCAGCACCCTTTCAACAGAGAAAACAGATTATAAAGGGAATTGTGAGAGAAAGGAAGTTGATCTTTGACTTTGGTGATCTATGTACACAGAGCCTAAAACGAGGTTTTTTCCAGTTCCTACATCTTCTGGCACATTTCAGATGATGCTTGGGGATGAGGAGAGCCAGTCAATGGGATGCTCATGCAGTTGATACATGTTTTGGAGCGATCTGAATTTTAAAAATGGACAAAATTCCAAGATATCATGCATGTGTCTTCCCCCAACAAACACTGATGACCAAATCAAAAGCAAGACAAGTGACGGTTCCCAGCCAGTATAAGCGTTATCACTTCCTTGAGGTTCCATCAAGCACATGGCATTTTTTTAAAAGACATAAAGATCAAGGTTGAAGATGAAAGGAAACTATGAACATTTGGATAAAATGAAGAAGATAGGGCAAGAATGGAAAAGAACTTGTAAAGTCAATCAAGCAAAGAAATGATCTTACTCTCTTAAAAAAGGCTCTTTCTATTGCTAAGACACTTATTTTTTCTTACTTTGTCTGCATATTTAGAACATATAATTTTTTCCCTAATTGTACAATTATACATTAAAAAGTAAGTGTACATTTCTAATTAAGCATGGAACACATACTTCAGCATGTAGTAAAGCTGTCCAAACTGCAGCAAGCACATAATATCTTAAAAATACCCAGCCATATGCTGGTAGTAATATTTGGGATAGAGATTGCATAGCCCACCTATACGGGGACATGAGAGACTGGCACTTGAAAAATAAACTTGTCCAGATGTTCATACTCAATGTCATGAAGAATTAATCATGATATTAATTAATCAAATATTAATTAGCATAAATCTTAGAAATATAACCTCTAAAGAGAAACTGCTGATGATGTTACATTGTTAACCTGGCAACAAACAGTATGAGTGCGAGAAGGGTAAGATACTCAATTTGGAAACATTCTCAGCATTACATGACTTCAAACTCACAGAAGTGAGTCATCAATTAACAGAGAAGGCGGGGCAGGGGGCCACTCAGGCGGGGGCATCTGCCCTATCCAGGTCATGTCAAAGTTACTGAGGTAGACCAACTGGGAAGAATACTTCTGAAGGTGAAAAATAAATTATACCATGGTGGTTTGGCCACAAGTATTTTACCAAAGATCTGTGGGTCAAAATGGAGTGAGTAAGAATGGAACTGTTATTTTAAAACAACAAAAAGAACCCAGCCCCAAACTGTCACCAAGATGTAGGAAGAACCCGAGGAAAGTTGTTGCTAATAGCGTTGAAAGATTTCTACGAAGGTGAAAAGATGATCTAGCAAGGAAGTCAATGCATGTGGGAGTATTTGGAAAATGTAAGGTTAGGATGGACCTAAGGATCTTGCCAGAATGGAGACGGTCATTTTAAGGATGGCGTTGTCTGATCTCCATGTCCACAAAAGCAGACCCTGATTGAGAGAAATTAAATTACAGTGATTGTCTGGTGCAGAACATGGGACTCAAGAACGAGAAGGAATCCTGGGAAAGCCCCCATCAGAGGCTCAGGTCTGTTCCTTCAGGTGCTTACAAGAGGCACCAGCAGGTATCCCGAGCGGGCGGGCTGTGCTGGGAGCCAGGGGACAGGGAATCGGGAGCCCACGCTCCTGCTGACCCTGGGCCAGTGCAGACATGGGCCACTGAGCAAGCTAAAACTGTCGAGGGAATTTCAGTGGGGGAAATTGTTACATTCTCAGGTTGAAATTAAGTCATTATCTGAAAACAAATTTTAACTATTTCTAATAAGTCATCCATAAAACTGAAAATACTATTTGAAAGTAACAACTTCTTTCCCTGTGATCTAGAGGAGAATCTTTGGGACAGCAGGAACATTTCCAGATGTGAATTCCTTTGCTTAAAGAGAGAAACACATCAGACTGAAGTTAAACCAAGAGGTCTATTGTTCTTTTCCATGAAGAACTTCCTCATTGGTCCTACTAATAAAAGTCATGGACTTTGCAATGTTTTCAAATCACGGAATTGGAAAGGTGATGGCCATCTTCCATGCGCTAGTCCCTGTATCTACTTTTGTTAAGATTTTATTTATTTATTTTTACATACAAGAACTGGGGTACAGGCCAGAGGTGCGGGGGATGAGAGGATTCACCAGAGACAGAGTGGGGAACAGAACAGGCAGAACAGACTGAAATACACTGCTGAGGGGAGCAGTGGGGAGACAAGAGAGGTCTGTTGCGCCCTGTGGGTCAGTTCCCTGGCCGGAGATGGAACTCGGGCCACAGCAGTGATAGTGCTGACCCTTAACCCCTAGGCCACCAAGGAGGCTCTAGTCCCTGTTGTTTTAACGAACTGAAGGGATAAGCATCTCTTTTAAGGGCAATGTGTCCTTCGATTTTGCCCGAGTTTCTTTGAGGTCCAGTGACAGGATGGTTGGGATCAAGAGAGCCACTCTCAGGAGGCCGAACCCTGTGTTTTCCAAAGCACTGCTCTGCATCAGGGTCAAGGTTTAGCTTTAATTAAAAACCAAACAGCCTCAACTGGCAAGAGAACAAACTGGAAAAGAAGGAGAAGCCATCACTAAATGAAAGGAAGGTTAGCGATGTGAGGTGATGGTGGAATGAACCTGAGGAGATGAAGAAGAGGAAAAGGCAGAGAGGCTGGGCCCCAGCAGAGAGACCACAGTGCTTGACTGCACATCACGGAAATGACAAGGCCATCCTGGGGACCTTCTTGGGGACTCACAGACTTCTGGTGGATTCTCAAGAGAACCCTTTTAGTACAGCGGTCAACCGTGGCGGCCCACTTCCTCTTGGCCTCCTCATCCTCCTCCAGCAAGCACCGCCTCAGGTCCTGCTTCTCGGCCTTGCTCAGCGTCCTGTCTGAAGCAGGACGCACTAGCTGGGTCAGGTTCAGGTGGCTGTACAGGCTCCGCTCCACCACGTAGGTGATATTGAACTCGCTGACCGAGGGGCGCCCGCGCACCCTCCTGCCGGGGCCACCGCCGCTCCCTCCCCCTTTGGGTTTCTGCCGGAGCAGCTGCAGGTCACAGGTCGTGCTATGAACGCCTCTTCTGGAGGGCCGCTGGCAGAGAAAAGCTCTGGAACAGGAATAGTTAGCGTCCGTCTTCTTCAGGCGGATCTGCTTGCGGACGCTCTGGATTTCCTCCAGCGACACCAGCAGGTGGTGCCTGCGGCGGTGGCTGTCATAGAAGCAAACGCCATCAGTACTTACCCCGTGGCTCAGGGACCCGAGCCCCTTCCTCATCTCCCCTTCCGTCAGGGAGCGGGAAACCTTCTGGGCCTTTTCTTCTTCTGGATATGAGAAGAATGTCCCCATCTTCTTGGGGGGCTTAATCAGGCCCCGGCTCTCGCCTTTGCTGAAGGTTTTGACCAACTTGCGACCAGCTCCCCAGGTATCCAGGCTGCTGGACGATGGCGAGGTGGTGAGCGAGTCAGAATCATCTTCTGGAGGCTTTTCTGGAGAGCTGTCCAAGAAAAAGGGCTTCTTGTGCACTCCGGAGTAGAGGGCGGACCGGTCGTCCAGGACGGGGGGGCTCTCCAGCCCGTGCTCCTCCCCACCTGGAGGAGAACCAACAGGGACATGTTCACGGTCTCCCAGACACGGACCTCAGCATCCACCTGCAGCCTCTCTTACAGCCCCTGCCCCGCCAAGAACGAACTAGAACCCGCAGCGGAGCCCCTCACCTCACCCTTCATACACCCAGCTCCCATGGTCACCAATGCAGGAAATGAAGAAAATGATCGAGTTGTGCAGATGCATGTTTTTTACAGAAGCTTAGAGTTAAAAGGCTTTGGATGTGTTTTTCGCCTTCAAATATCTTTAAAGAGTGACATTGTCTTACCTAAATGATCTCATATAAATGACTAATAAATCAGTAAAAGTTAAAATTAAAAAAGTAACTGTCTTTGTAGAACAAACACCTTCACAGACCTCTCAAAAATGCCATCTAGAACACCTGAGTCAGCCACGATCATGATATTCCTTAGCATTTAGAGACAACTGCCCTTCCCAGTTTGGAAGCGCCATCCTCAGAAGCTCAGAGTCAGACTCTTTCCTCCTATGGAAAGGCTGTCCTGTTGGCTCGGGTTGGCTTCTTTTAGTCAGAGTGTGGTGGATGCTATTGGACGATGGTGATTTTTTTATTGGTACATATGTCGTTTAAGAAATTAAACCTCCAAGTGAATCTGGGTCCCAAAACACCATCAAGGGCTGTAGCTTGCAACGCAGCTGACAAATTGTCCCCAGTGGATAAAGACAGAGAGTTGGGTAATTGGGTGATCCCAGCCAGACATGTGCATCGAGTCAGCCCTGCTGGGAAGGCAGCGAGGGCATTTAAGGCCCTGCACACGCAGCAGCCCGTGGGGGCTCTGCTTTGCCTCAGAGGATTCCAGCTCTTGACTCCTTCACTGGGCCAGGTGTGGAGCCAAGTCCTCCAGAGCCCAGTGGAAAGGTTTCGTCTTGCTAGCAGGAAAACAGCTCTTGTCTGTGTGTGTTATGTGAACAGATGTGAAAAGAGAAGTAGGTCAAGTTGCGGGTGTAGTGATCCTAACTGACTGTGTCCCTTTAATTATATGGAAACTTTTGAGCTCTGCAGCTTTCCACCAGCTGAATTGTGAAAAGGAAAAAAATGAAAAGTTCCCTGGAACAGAGGGAAGACACTCAATATACCAGCTGGAATGAGAGTGCCAGTGTGTGGTTAAATGTCAGCGACAAAGGGAAGGGACTGATCGCTGGAGACAGGGAGGGAGGGATGAATGGATGGCCAGCAGCCCTTCAAAATTCTACAAGTTTCTTAATTTCCCAAATGATGAGAATTACAGTTGCAAACACAACACCAAAATGAAACGCTGCTGTTCAATACAATTCAAGATTGACTCGGGTCAAGGAGATGGTGGTGGGAGGGCGATCCAAATCCATGTGCAAGCCAAATTTGTCCCTAGTCTGCAGCGCAAATCTATTCACTGGAGAAGTCTCCCCAGATCTTCCAGGACAGTTCAAAAGCAGGGTCTAGGGTTCTTACGGGAATCCACTAGGCTGAGGGGGACTCTCAGCATCCTGCTTTTTCCTCTGGGCACCTGACTAACGAGGTATGGACCGTTGGTCCTTAGGCTGTTGTAAATAAAAAGGGCCACCTCTTCTACAAACAGTCTACCATTTACTTCCAGGGAGAAGTGACCGGTCATGACAAGAGGCACTGCACAGTGGTAGAGGCAGCCAACAGCCACTTGTCTATAAAAGCAATCCTGACACACATCACGGTTTCACATTTAGTCCAGGTTCTCAGAGGTGTGCAAGGGCCCTTACCCACCCACTTGGGGGAAGTCAAGTGGGGATTTTAAGGATATTTTAAGGGCCTGTCACTCAGCAATGGCCTAGGAATTTTCTGGACTCTGTCTTCAGGGTTGTCATGAGGGATTCCAGTACTTCCGTGTCACACTTGAGTCTGCCACCAGCTGGTCCACACATGTCCATAACATATGCGGCTCTACTCCCTGGTTCTGGAAAGTCACCATGGGAAGGAGCTTGGCGGGAAAGGGGTCAGTGCTTCTAAAGAGACCACGTCAGCTTATGCTGAGGGTGGGCCTCCTGCAGCAGGTCTCCTGTCTGTGCCTGACCTGAAGCCAAAATCCAGTCTAGACTCGATTCCTTGGATTTAGTGTCACTTCTCTCTTCCTCCTCTGACTTGAAGGCACGACTATACTATTGAGAGAATTGACAGTCAAGATGCTCTCACTCTATCCCCATTCTGTATGATCTGCTTCGCAGAATGACCTTTGTCTTATGCAGCTCAGATGGGGAAGGAGACACCTGCAGGGGGAGGAGGTCTAGCCCTCTAAATCACATGCAGCACTGTAAACCAATCTTGCCTCAAAAATAAAGACTGAAACAAATACATTTTTTAAAGTAGGGAAGGAATGGTGATTTTTGGTAGGGAGAAGAGAGAGGGAGGATGCAGGATGATTTCATCCAAGAGCACAGATTCGTGCCCTGGAATCCTGCCCAGGCTCTGCACTCAGCAGCTCAGTGAACTTGGGCAATCAGTGACTCCATGGCGAGTCTGTTTCCTCGCCTGTACTAATGCCTCCTGATCTTAGTAAGATCTACAAGGCTTTTTAGCGGATAAAATGAAATGAAAAGAGATGTGGGAAGGTACTTTATAAGCTGAAAAGCACCATGCAAGTGAAAGATTCCTGATCAGGTAAAGATGAGCTGGAAAATGGGGGAGGGGATACACAAATGCACTAAATTCCTGCCCCTCAATTTAGTAGTCATCCTGGCTCCAGAGAAGGACAGAAACTCCATTTACAAAGGTGAGACCGGGGGAAGGATGATCAGTCTCATGTCTCTGCCAGGACTCAAGAGCTGGAGGTTGAGGGAAACAGGGTGGGGTGAGGAGTGGGGGGGAGTGTAGAGTGGAGAGCAAAGATACAGAGGAATCAGGCGGTCCAGACTTAATTCTGGGTCTTCTGTGCTGGCCCCATGACCTTGAGTCAATTAAGTTAGCCTCGTGCTGTCCTCGTTTGCTCACTTATAAAATTTAGGTGGTATGAGGAGTGCCTGCCTCTGGTGGCTCTTCTGAGGATGACATATTAAAAGGATCATAAAATCTAAAGTGCTTAGGAAAGTGTCTGGCACGTGGAATGCTCGAATAAATGTTAATTATTACTTAGAAAACTTAGCATTGGCACAAGCATGCATGAAGTCAAAAGGATCGATTTTTTTTGAAGTTTGGGGAGTGGGTGGAGGGAGAGGCTAGGGGGGTATGAGTCTTTGCTGCTTTGCAGAAACAGGAGCCAAGGCAGTTCCTCCCAATGAGGAGCCACAGCAAGTTCTATTATGCAGGGGTTAAGGGGAGTTCTAGTCTAGCAAAGAGCACCCCAAAGCAGTGCCCTGAGCTGCACACACACCTGGGTCTCTCCTGATGATACTGACAGCGGTGACAACAGTAGCCCAGCCCCTCAACTCACCAGACACTAGAGGTGTAACCCTGGCCTCCAGCTCACTAAACCTAGCTTCCATCTGTGAAACTATTCACATTCTGATTATTAGTCTGAGCTAGATGTCCATGACATAATTACATTTTTTTTTTAACCCTAGAGCTCTGTCTTTTGGTATATTTTTTGCCTTTTAGTCTACGTCTCTCAGACAATTGAATTGATTTGTTATGACACAAAGATGCAAATTAGAATGTGTCTGCATTTTTTACAATGGTCTAGTGGAAAGGCTGACGCAATACATATCACAATCGTGGGGGTGCAGCCCCCATTTTACCCATTTTATCTCATTTGTGGATAAGAGATCCAATCTATTAATGAGATTTGATTCTAGCTGGTGTACGCAAAGTTTCCTTGAAAATGTGGTGATTCCCCAAAGCTGAATGACAGTGATTTCACATTGTTCTACTGACATGGGGTGTAATTTCAGTAAGGGCTGCCACTGTCAGAGGCAGCCAAGGTATTTTCTACATTGTGAAAACCCACCAGCTAGACAGGTATGAGAACTTCAAATGGAAAATCAGCATTGCACCCACATGTAAACAGAATTACCAGGTGAAAAGACAGCTGACTGAAATCCTGGCATTAAACACAACGCTAAGTTTATGAAATTGACCCTTTTCTTCACTGTGTTCCTCTCTGCTTACCCACGTGATACCCTTATCTTCAATATTCCTCTAGGGCTTTCAACTGGTAAATAATGACAATAAACAAAAATAAAAGCAGCAGAAATAATAAGAAGAAATCTGTTCCCTCCATGGCGTGATTTTAATTTATGTACACCAAAAATGCTTCTATAGTGATTTTTTAAAAATCTACATGCAAACACTATGAAATCCCTCACAATGCAGAGAAGACATTCTAACAAGCAATATGATTAAAAAAAATATTCTTTCTAGTAATTTCTCCAATTCACTTACGATTTTCCAAAGAAGAAATGTAATTGTTTTATTTCATCTTTTGGGGATAATTTTACAAGGTGCTGCAAATGCACATTGCCAACAATAAGAGAGGTAAATATGGTAGAGATTCAAACTGCCCTAATTACACATCAAAGGTTAACTATTCATTACAATAAATCCCAGCTCCTGGCTCTTTTGACATCATTGCTTCATGTGTAAAGTGGCTGAGCGAGCAATATATCTCTTAAAAATCCACTTAGGATAGTAGGTCCTTCGAGTCCCACTGGAATTGAGACTTAAATCTGTTTATAGAGAGAACAAATCATCCCTCAGCGATCCAAAGGGATATCAAGAGCCTAGCTTGTTAGATATTTGTTTGACATTGATGTATATCAAATTTGGATTAAACTTACTAGATAAGAATCACAGTTCTTTTAGGGGTAGAAGTTTATACTAAGAGAATATTATAAAGTGCATGTAAAATGGCATAAATTAAAACTGTGCCATGCCTTGAGAAGATTCCATTGTCACATACCATTCATTTTCCGTCTTTGTCACATTTAAATTACTGTACCAAGCCCCCGGAAATGCTGCACTCCACACCCCTTCATCCCATACAACATGCTGGGCGCCCCCCTCCTAACAGGCTGATCCAACTCTTGCTCTACCAGCCTCAGCCAGATCTCGACTCATTTCCCATCTGCAATCATCGTCTTTTTTTCCTGGGAACTGGCCCCGAGTGATGTACTGATAACTAGGGTGGAATCTGCTTTTTTACCTTCAGTGCTGGGTTTTTTCATTTCTTCTACCCTTATTAATTTCTTTCTCACTCTGCGAGTGGAGTTTACCAGCTTGTGTAACCTCTTAAACTTCACGGACTCCTCGGTCTCATCATCCGATTGTTCTCTTGACTGGCAAAGAAACAAAGGAAAAAGTTAATCAGATCACTGCTCCAGAGGTTTGCCCTTGCGTGTCGGTAGGCTCGGCCACTGAACCCATAAATTGGGGCACCCACAAATTTGTACAACAGGTTCACAAAGCTCCACATACCATCTTCGGCTATAAGTCACTGTAGAATTGAGCCCCAGGAACCACAACACACACCCTTGCCCTTGACTGGCATTTGGTGCATTTGTCTCAACTACGTCCTGGTTCTCCTTTAGGGGAGCTGTGGCGAGGATCGCTCCAGGCTGGCCCTGTAATTCCAGTTACACGGCTGTGGTTTGGGTCAGCCTCTCAGCTGTCTGGCCCATCAGGACTTGCTGTTTAGCGTGGTCATGAACGACTTCTCCAAACCCAAACTCTGTTGACTTGTTCTCGTCCTCCCCGAAAATCAAAAACAGCAGGGCCAGAAAAGGGAAGAGATGCAAAAAGCCTTCTTCGGTCCCATTTGTTAGGACAGTCTGCCACAGCTCAGCCATCCTTTCCGCTTCTCCCAACTCGTTCCCAAGCTGCAGGACAGATCCTGCATTCCTCCAAGAGGGACAAGGGAAAAAGCTGACCTTTTCAGCCATACAGTGCAGTCCATATTCCCCAGCATCCCATTTCGTTATGCAGCGATTCAAGTATGCTCAGCCCAGCTGTTTTCCCTCAAGTATCAAACATTACAGAGAGAAAAAAAATTCTCTCTACAGCAGTGACCCAGGCGAAAAACAATCCTTTCCTTGTGAACAAAATGAGGATTTCGTTTCCAAGTCAGCTCCAACATTCAATATGCAGCTTCCTCTGTTTTATCTGTCCAAAATGTGGAAGAAGCAAAAGAAGTTTCCAACCAAAGGGGGTGCTGCATGGCTAGGGCTCACATACCCCGGAACACAGTCTGGCACACCCCAGGCAGCTCAGGAGCAATTCCAGCTAATCCTGTGCATGCTGGCAACAGCCTTCTCTCACTTTCCTCAAGCCTAGTTCACTGAAATAGCAGGGAGAGGAATGCCTCCAATGAAGACACGAAATGAAAAAAACCTAGCTCTGCAACGTGGAATATGGAGACTTCCTCCTCCCCCCAGCCATGCTCTCTCTCATCAACCCCCAACTTTATAGACAATCCAGTAGGTGAGAGTTAGTGGAGAACAGTTCCAGATAAGGTGAAGGTTATATTCATTACTCAGGAATAAAAACAGTGCATGCTGCAATCCACAAATATTTCCATAGCACTTGGCACTATGGAAGGGATACATGCAATCCTTCCCTAGCCTCTGTCCTCACCCCAGAACTACCAGCATGGACTCATTGTACTTTCTCCCTGCATGACTATAAGCAAACCATTCACCCACCAACTTACAGTTATTATAACCTATAAATGGCAAGTCTTAGGTCAATGGTATTTCTCAGTCTTCCCTTCTGTGAAGAATATCAATATCCATGCTCAGTTTCCTAAAATTCCCAGATTAAATTTGGCGTACATATTTCAGAATTAAAGTTAACGACTGACTACTTGATAATGAGGAATAGAAATTGGGCTTGCAGGCAAAGGGGGAAGGAGGGTAGAAAGTTTGCTGACAGCCTTCAGTGCTTGATCTAAAACTTAGATCGTAAAAAACTAAAACAATAAATATAACTCCTACTATATAATGGTATGGTCTGGTTTGAATGTCATTTTCACCCTTAATGATCGTATTGGTCAACCAGGGGAATGAAAACTTGGTTAACCCTTGCTCTGGACCATCGGGATGTAAACAAAATTACAGGGCATGGAACAGCACTCTGCCATCTTGATGTACGTCAAAAGCCAAGTAATTCATAAAGAAGACTCACATAGCTTACAAGTCTCTGTACATCCCTACGATACAAGCCTAGAACACATCTGTAACCCTCCGATTAAAAAATTTTGAAGTCAAGTGGAAATGAAATAACCACAAGCTGCTTATAACTAAAATACAGGAAGCTGCATTCCAGGATGAAAAGCATCCTGGCTACAGACCTCACACCTGGCTTGGGGGCTGCTTTTGCTTGTTGCGGGTGGGGCTGGAGGTGACCTAAGCTGTATTAGTGTGTATATACAGAAAACTGAGATCGAGAAAGAACACAAAAATCTTGGGCCTGCAAAACCACAAATCATATGTAGGAAAGACATGGTCAGAAGAGAGTTTTCAAGGTGAAATCAAGAGTTAAGCCAGGACAACGGATTTAAAGAAAATGACTCCGCCCCCTAAGCTTTACTATCCTCTGCCCAGACTCACTGGGGTGAAAAAGAACATATTCCAGGGACTTAATTATTTTCACATGTTCTATCTATTTTTGGGAAATGTGAGCTCTTTAGAATGTTGAACTAATGTTATTTTTACTTTTCTAAAAAAAAATACTGAAGAATTTGGAGGTATTTGCTATTTGACCAGTCACAAATCATGACAACCAAGAACTTTTGCTACGTCATCATGATGTTCTGGCTACTAGACAAGGTGGATGCAGCACAATTTTTAGGAAGAAAAATGAAGCTAAAACCAGTCCTTGAAGATTATATGTATATAATTATATATTGTTATGTATCATATTGTTATGTATTATATTATATTGTTATATCATACGTATGTGTGTGTGATATATGCATTCACGTATATCTCCTCTTAATTCAGCCTACAAGTCACTCGAGTTCAACAATATAGCCCACAAATGCTTTTTATTGATGGAGAGGTATTGACTTCTCACTTTCTCTTGTATCCAAAGGAAAATGAGTTGTGAAATAAATTTGTCTTTAAAAAAGTCCTCTCCAGCTGTTTGAACAGAAAGACACTGTAAAAGACATGCATTTCTTTATTTCTTCTCAACTAGGAAGCTAAATTTCAATTCTTCATTTCAAGTTTCTCCTTACAAGTATGCATGTGGCACATCCCAAATGTTAAAAATAGCATACCGATTTTTTTTGATTCGAAACTACACCTCCACTGATGGGGATGTGAGCATTTAGATAAGTTTTTAATTAAGAAATATGTATACATATAGGTGTGTATACACATATACAAGAAATCTTCCCACCTGGAGAAACTTTGTATTGCATGTAAAATGAATGAATGACTCCGAGAATAGGCTTAAGACTATTATAAAACAAGTTTTAAATCAGCTAAAGTGAAAAAAAGAACAGTATAGGTTGCTACACATTCAATTACAAGATAGTGTCTCCTCCCCTCCTGTCCCACCCCAGGGTGGAGTACTAAAATAAACTTGGATTTGATCATCTTCTAAACGAGAAGGTGAAAATTTATCTGTAAAGAACTCCCCACCCTGAAACCCCAAGTAGAAAAAGGCAATTAATTCATGCCACCACAGGATGTGGAGGAGTGGATTTACAATATTGTAAATAGAAACATTTGATTTCCAGCCTCTCTATTGCAGATTTTTCCACCAGAAAGCCCATATGGCTCAACTTTTAATTACTTTGGCTAATGCTATATGTAGTAATTCTGTGGTGAATGCTTAAGTGTTTCATTTCTGGTTTCCATGGCAACATTACATCAGATTGCAGACAGCTGGCTCCACAGTTTTAAACCATAACAAATTGACCAAGCCAAGACACAAAACTATAGCCGCTTTAAAGAGATAGTACACCATTGGCCTGCCAGGCGCTGAATGAGGAACCTAGGGGGCCCGCTTGGCATGCGAAGGAGGGTGGAGCCTCCTCCCTTCTCAGCTTCTTTTGGAACATGTGTGTCCTTGACACATCTGCAATGTTCTAATAGGAAAGACATGGAGCCAGCGTGGGGAACTTTTTATAACACAGCTACGTTTGGATGATCAGAAAAAAATGAAACACAATTAATAGCATCTGTAGACACAAAAGTGTGTGTGCAGGAGCAAACCAAAGCCTCCCTCCCTGCTCGACATTAGCCTGTTACTGCAGGTCAGTGACACAAACTTCCCTCCACCCTGTGACAAACAGTTTTTGTGAATTATCATGCACTAAGACAAACGCTTTCCGAAAGTCGGGAGGCACATTCTTGCAGGCAAAGGAGTCATGTGCTGTCAGAAGGTTTAAGCAAACTTGCAAGGGGCACCGAGGATCTTTTTGGGAACCACTTGAGACCATGCTAGGCACAGGGTTTCAACTGAGCCCTCTGCAGAGCACACTCTGCTTGCTTCCCGGCTCCCGACACCCAGCACACTGTCCCTATTAACAGCCAGGCTAAGTCCACTGATTCCCACCAGAGTCATGCACATAACACTGGAAGATATTTAAGCATCTCTGAAAAGCATTTTGAAATGGGCAATGTATTCGCTTGTTTAATCCACACCTTGGAGTCTGCAAAACCAAGACAAAAATGCTTCAACTTCCAACGGTCCAGCGTGTCAATGGCATTAACTTTAAAGCTAAGAGAAGGGAGCCGGACAGATGTAGATTCACCAAAATCAATTCAGAACGGAGCTGCAACCACGTACGCCCCACCGCTCTCACGCTCATCTACTCGAAAGAATCTTCACTTTCCCCTCCCAGACCCATGCCTGATGTTGGGTGAGCATGCAGAAAAAGAACGCTCAGAATACCTTGAGGGAGGGAAGTAAACAAGGGAAGAGGAGGCAATCTAGAGGAATTTGAAGAGAAAAGAGGGAAGCATCATAGCCAGGGGGGGAAACAAAAAGCTTTTTTCTTGAAGTGACAGAAAACACATTTTTTTCTGTTTCCATGAAATAGTCTCCAGCAAACTTACCGGCTTCGGCATTTAGCAGGCCTAAGGGACAACGTTGAGCACGTCGGGTACCCCCGCCCCTCCCCACTTTGAGAGTGTCTCCACTCTGGCTGCACCAACTGTAATCTCAAAGTGAGGCTAAGGCGCTCCTGGAAAAGTTGCTTTGGAGTTACATGATCGGACAGGCTCCACGCGCGGCTCGGGATCCGGAGGAGAAGAGTGAAGACCCTGGATTCAATTAGCTGCTCTCTGCTTGCTGACCGATTCCCCAGCTACTTGCTAACAGCACAACTTGTAAGAAAGGCATAAGTCATCAGCTCTAAGCAAATCTCCTATTCACCACGAGGAAAAAAGGGAGCGTTGTACGTGGCAAACAATCCCTGTTTTCACTGACGAAGTCTCCCTGACCTCCCGCCGGCCTCCAGTTCCTTAATTACTGTCTATGGAATTCCAGAGAAAGAAAAAAAAAAGAACTCGAGAATCTGAGCGAATCCGGGACAAGGACTCACCCTCACAAGTGACTGAACTTAAAAAAGATCTCTTTTGCAGATAGCCTCCTAACCACCCCCTGCGGGGAGCCGTCTCGATTGAAAATAGACACCTTCGAAGGGTTATTTTTGAAATGACTGAATTTAAACGGATGATTTTGGTTTTCTCCTGGAGTTGTCACTTTTTGTCTCTCTCCCCACTCCTTTTCCTGATTTAGCCACTAGAGTCAATGCAGGATTCCCCCCTTTCAGGGATGCTTCTAAAACTGTCTTGTTTCAATGTTCATTTCAGAGGAGCAGCGTTCTCCTGTGTTCTAGAAAGGCAAGCATGGGGACTGCGTCACCGACCATCATTGCTTTACTTAGGAGTGTCTGGGGAACAACAGGTACCTGCTATCCCTTACGCAGAACATCATCTAAGCCAGACAGGACAGAAAGCCCATACACAGCACCCCGCCACACAGCTGTAAGCCCAGGGCTGAATATACCAGGTGGGGAAGTCACGGGCCCCCACCGTACCCCCGGAGCCGCCCACACCTCCGTGCCACTCAGCGCACGAGCTTTCAGTTCCATATTCTGCAAGGGCCGCAATCATACAACACAAATGATCACACAACACAAATGTACTAGCTTTCACCAAGCAGGACCCCAGGCCAAGAGCCTCGGGCCCTGAAGCCCCATCTCCTCCCCATGAGCTCCTGCTCTCTTCCCTGGGGGCCTTTGGCATCTCTCACTCTTCAGCAAGACCTGCATGAACCCCCTCCCATGGAGTTTCCTATTATTTCTTTCCACAAGCACTCAGTGCACCTTCCTAGGCGGCCACTTCCCCAGTCTGCAGATCCTGCACCCACACCCTCTCTGCTTCCACACGCCCCCCTTCCCAGTGCCAGGGGAGGACTATAGCCACATCAGGTGCCCTCTGACGTGGTCCTTCCGACACCCATCCTGGTCAGCAGCTCCGATTCCCACGAAACATTCCCGAGCTGAGTCTCCACACACAGATAGTAAAGGCAAAGGCGGCAGATTTGCAGCACCAGGGCCTTCCTCCCACACCAAAGCCCTGGCCGGGACTTTGCGACCCATTAAGACTGACACCGCGGGCCTCCCTGGTGGCACAACGGTTGGGCGCTGGGTTGCGAAGCTGCCCGCGGCCTCTGCGGCGCCGGTTCGATCCGGCTGCTCCCCGGCCACCGGAGGAGGGTCCCACATGGCGCGCAGACCTCTCCTGCCGCCCGCTGCTCCCCTCAGCAGTGTACTTCGGTCCTTCTGCCTGCTCTGCTCCCCGCTCTGGCTCTGGTGAATTCTCTCACCCTCCCGCGCTTCTGACTGTACCCAGTGCTTGTATAAACAACAAACAAACAAACAAATAAATAAATAAAACATGCCTCTATAAAAAAAAAAAAAGACTGACACCGTGCTGCAACCTTATGCTCGCAATTCCTTACTGTCGCGGACTGAGCTGTTGGTGGGATTTCTTTGTTACTTGATGAAAACCAGGAAAACCCTACGGTCCGATATGAGCGGAGTGAAGGAGAGCTGGGACAACCTGGGCTCAACAGCCAAGCCCTGCAGCAAATCACTTTTGCTCATGGGGGTCTCGGTGCTCCCCCCACATCACTTTGGGGCGGTTGTCGTGTATAACGACAACCTGTGCTCAGAAAGCACTTGCACACCTGCAGCCTATCAGCTATCACAGTGAATTCAAACGACATACTAAATCCTTACAACGGCTAGTTTAGGTGCAGAGCAAACAGCGAAGGTTAAAAAAGAAGCTTTTTACCTGTATAAGTTAGTGATATGACCAACTCCTGATGCTGGATCTGAACAGGCTGTTTAGATATGGAGAAGATTCTGGGCAGATTGAGGAGGACTCTGGCATTTGGTAGGCAAAGGTTTGAGTCCATTAGATGCCACTTGCAAGCAGTGTGTGGCTGTGGGAATGTTGCTTAATGTCACTCATTTATACAATAAATGGTGATAAGCCTCCTAGGCCTTGATGCATGGTCCAGAGCCTGGCAGGGTGTGAAGGCTCCTTCAATGTGTGACCCGTGGGGAGCTGGACATTGAGCAGGCATGCTAGGAGGTGCAGAGCGGGATGCATCTTCTACCCATGCCCCTTGGTGCTGGCTCCTCCTGAATACCCTGTTCTAACTGTCCCCACCAGCACCCACAGAGGATGGCACAGGAGATCTTTGATGCTGGGCACTCCCATGGGCATGGACCTGAGCAGGCCCACAGGGAGACACAGGTCCTTCCCCTCCACCCATTGTGTCCATGGTGCCCAGTGCTGGGGGGTCATCGGGCTCACTATACTTGAGACACAAAGAATGTCTAACTCTCCAGCCCTTGCTGTGTGTCAAAGCACACTGTGGGCTTTCTGAAGACCAGGCCAGGCCAGGCCACCTGGGAAAGCTTCCTGGAGGGAAGGTAGAAACATGGGACACACATTAGGAGGGAAGGGCCTTGCTAGTCTTGTTTACTGGGTAGTGGGCTTGAACTCACCCAGCACACCCAAGGAGTACAAACTGCTGAAGAGAGATGTGAGCATCTGACTCCCAGTCTAAGGACTGTTCAGTAGCTCCCGGAGATTGTAGTGGCTTATGTGACTGTGCTGAGGAGGATCCTGCTTGAGCCCCAGTTCCCAAGTATGTTCTGCTCCACTATGAATGAAGAAGCATCCTCTGATGGCACCTGGTTCTTATCCTTGCCTTCTCCACAGCATCTCAAATACCCCATCTCTCACGTGCCTGCACATTTGTATACCTATAGTTTCTTTTTTTGGAAATATCTCTGCCTATCCTGACTAGTTCTGTAGCTGCTCCTTATCCTTCAAGATTCAGTCCACACGTCACCTCCTCCAGGAAGCTTTCCTAGTCTTTGTCCTCATCTTCCCTTGGCTGGATGGTTGCACTGAAACCTAGATACACGTTCTCATAGTACTTGGCTAACACTGCAATCACCGTACTGCTGTGCATACCTGACTAAATTTCATGAGAACAACAAGCAGCTTCACATTAATTTCTCGTATTTTAGTAACATTTATTATTCCTGATTAATAACGACATATATTTAACAGTAGTTGTAGAATACTTGGAAATGCAGATTCACACAAAGGAAAAGCTATCACCTGTATCCTTGGATAGAAAAATTAGCACGATTTTAGTTTGTCTTCCCAATTTTATACAAACACACAATACTTTCTTATGTTTCTGCGATTTCTGTTCCTTTCCCCTTTTTTTGTTTACAAAAAAGAATGACCTCAAGCTCATTAGTTGTTCCACCTCCCACAGTCACTCTCAGGGTTCCCAAAGCCTCCCTCACAGGAACACACAGCGTAAGCAAAACAAAGTGCTCACTTGTAAAAGCCGCCCAATATAGAGAAACCTCAAGACCGCCAAGTCTACTGCCCAAACACTTTTATAACCTGATTTCAAAAATGATTATGTTTTGAACATTTTCTCATGTCAACAAATATTCAACAAATAAAATACAACCATATTTAAGTGATTCGATAGTATTCAGTCATAGAAGTGTGCCATAATTTACCTAAAGCAATACCCCCATCACTGGACTGTACAAGTTTCGAATTTTTCAACATTATAAACAATACTCTCATGAACACTTTTTGGTAAAATTTCTAACAAGTCTAAAGCATGATCTTTTCAGAACAATGGTACTGCAGAATTGATGGGTAAAAGAAAATGGGCAGAGCTTTAATACATATTAAATGTCTCAATACATATTAGCAATTTGCTCCAAAGAAGCATTATGTCTAAAAAGAACGCCTAGTTTCCCCCCAATTTCCAACACTGAACATTACAATATTCTCTTCCACTCAGATAAGTAAAAATAATATCTGTTTGTACTAGGCAGGTATTTTCAGATTGAGATGAATGAACGTACTGAGATTCAAAGCAAGGAGCAGAAAAAAATGAATGCACTGGTTTTGCTGAGATTTATTAAGATTATAATCTCAAAGTCTGTGGGTAGAGAGAGTCCCAAGACAGAAATATGAGATAAATGCATACAAAGACCAAAGAGGAGGAACAAAGAGACACAGGGATTTAGAAGTGGGCGAACTCACCTTCAGGCAAGGAAATCCAGACATGCTTCAGGAGGGGAGGCCTTTTGCCATGGTTTGGATGCATTTAAATCCTCCTACTGGCACTCACTTCCATGTTCCTAGCTGGGCCTAGAAGCTTGGTCTTTACATGGCCCACCCCTTTCTCCCCCCGACCCTAGATGCCATCCGTATGGATAAAGAAGCGTTCACAGGATGCTGCCGCCCTAATAAACAGCATGTGACAGCAATCAACAACAGCTTGATGGCCTCCTCTCTTCCAAGCTTGATTTCATAATCTCTCCGACATGCCTGATCTCCCTCCACTGGTCCAAGAAGTGATGCATTCAGGTCACTCCCTACCTTGGGGCAGCACGTTGCCTCTGGTGGGGTCTGTTCCAGATGGGCCTTGACGACTACCAGCATGGTGTCTGACTGAGGCAGGAACTTCTGGTCCC